CTTAAATTAGGGACGATGCATGAGGAATAAAATATTCTTTCTTCATTCTTAAGTCTCTAAAAGTCATCAGAACTAATTCTGACGATGTTGCTGTCTTCTAGGGAACCTGGATGATACAGCTGTAACACTAAAGGAATGACAAAGCTTATTTTGGATTGGTTAAGTAGTATTATTTCTTCAGTGCCAGTTGTAGCTCTCAATACCACAACACCACTTGCTTAGGTCTAAGGAGGAAAGCAAAAGCACAGGTGTGAGGAAGCTCACATTGTACAACTGTGTTATCTGCAATGCAGACAAGTGATTTATGATTGCATGTTTCACGTAGCAGGAATGATATTGCCAGAGGTAAGAACAAGGAGGAAAATTCAGACTCCCTTCAGGGTGACAGACATCTCAAAAATAAAGAGGATCCTTTTTCAGTTTTCTGGCAAGTCTCATCAGGAGAGTCCTAGAGCAAAGAGGGAAAAGTGACGTTCCCTTTGCAGGCACTACAACTGCCTCAGAATAACCAGTACTCACTCTCTAAGATCCCCTCGATGGGCAACTGGGAAAACTGGTGCTGTAACAGTTAACTGTAACAACACTGTATTCCCCTTCTCCACACACCTTGCTCACCTCACGTTGTGCAATTCCATATTAATATAGACATTAGTTTCATGGACAGCTCTGACCACTTCTCCTTTTGCTTTATAGAAAGAAATTACAAGCTCTGTAATCAGTAAAATTACTGAAATTGGGCATCCTAGAGCTTTTAACTCCCTTCCAAAGAATGGAAAGCCCTAGGTCCTAGTGACAGGTATTGGGAAAACCTGAAGTTGTTCTGCTTCTCATGGACTGGACAGGGATCAAGGGGAGTGAGGAGATTCCTGTAGTGCTGCTAGGTTGGCAGGAGCGCCTTAATACTAACCTGAAGTTGGCTGAATGACGTAAACTTGGAGCAGAGTAAATTTTTGATGTTTTAGATGACCATAATTATTATTTCAAGTGCAACGCCAGCTAAAAGCAGTCATGATTAATGCTGTATCACAGATACCTTGCACAGGCATACAAGCTCTGAGCCTTGAAGCAGTTGCATCTGGTCTGATCTAAATCATTCATAACAATATATAAAAGTTGAAACCTTGAATAAGGATTGAATAAGGATTGAACCCTTGAACCAACCATTCCATTCCTTCTCTATTTTCAAACTAGTTCGTACTTTGGGTTTGGTTTTTTTTTCCCCCCCCTTTTTGGCAGTTTAAATCAATTTTATTTAGTTTTCAACTCTGCTGTCCTGTGCTGCCTTTGAAAAGTGTTCACTTGTTCCATTCCTTCCCCCTTAGATATTTAAGGGAGTTGTGCAAGGAAAATCAACACCAGACCAGGTGCTTGGCCTGGATTTGGGGACCCTGGGCATGCCCTGGTGCAGTGTCTGCAGCCACTAAATGACATGTGGTGAGGGAACCTGCACCTCCTGGATGGCACCTGGATGGTTTCGGTCTGTTATTATGATTAAAGGATAAAATAATATTAAATGTTTCCTTAATAGGAGAAAATGCACAGCATTGACAGTAGTGATTAAGTTCTATTAAACAGTTGTTAGTTTGGACACCGGGTGATTAGTACATTCAAACCACTTCATTTCCAGACTTTGGCACCTTGGTCACTACTAACTCAAACCATAAAGTTCAATGAATCAAGTTGTAAATAGTTTTATTGGTCCCATGTCGGGGAAAAAAAATTGAGGGTTGCGAAGTTCCTGGGTGATTTCAAGTTACGCATTTCTCAAGTCCTTGTCCTTCTGTTTTCTGTTCTTTAGTTATCCATCACTGCAAAAAGTTTAAACTCTGTTTCTGCCTTTGCGAACACTTAATGTGTTAATTGAGAGCAAAGAGTTCTATTCCTAGAATAAAATAAGCCAAATGGAGAGAGCTGGAGTTTTGCACTAAGATTCACACTGCTGCCAACATGCCATAGTTATCCAAGGGAGGAATTTCCTCCAAGGACATGACTGGAACTGCTCTTACAGCCCCTGGAGAAAGGTCCATAGCTACACACATGCTGCTGACTGTTGGATAAAACACAGAACCTTATGTTTCTGTTGGTTTGTATTTGGTTTTCTGAAAATAATTATCAACTTTTTGAGAATTAATTATTTTGTGTTCATTTTACGAGAAGTTGTCCTTCAAAGTAGATTTTATTTATTTATTTTTATTATTAATGAAAGTTTAGGAATTAAATGGTAATATCTGGACATATTTCATATGTCAGTGCTATACAACAAAACTTCCTTAAAGTTCCTTTTAATACCTTTTAAGTGACTGGGAGCAAATTTTTAGTTTCTCCAAACGAATTTGAGGATTAGAAAGATGTACTGGCTTTATCCTGGTTTGGCTTTCAAATTGCCATGTGTCCTGTTAAGTCTGTTTATGATTCCAGTGCCCCTTGCATCACTTATGTGCCACTTTACAAATTGCTGCCGAGGTGTTTATGATGAAGTGCCTTTCCCAAGTGGAAGCGGATTTTCATTAGCCTGCTTAAAACTCATCTGGTTTTACGGTGTGGTCATAGAAATGTGTATGTTTACTGGGGTAAGTCCTTCATATTCTCTTTTGGTGTACATGTGTGTGCCTGTAGAAGTTGTGTGTGTGCTCGTGTGCCTGGGCAAGGCAAGGCAAGACAGCACCATAACTCCAGGGAGAATGGAGGAGGTGACTGCGAGTCACCCACTTACTCACTGGCATATACTGTGGGAAACCTGTATTTTGTGGTTTTGTAGAGCACTTGCTTCTTAGACCAGGCAGGCAAAAAGGCAGACATCCCCTTCTCATTACCAAATTTATCACTCACAACTCCTATGTAAAACAAACTTAGTGTCAACTCCGAAATGAAGAGCTGCATTGGAAATCACACCTAAGTACAGCAGGTGCTGAGCTGGCAGTTTCACAGCAGATTGTGAAATTTGATCACACAATGGGAAATGGAGCCACTCCTTGAGGGCAATATCTGGAAACGTAATGGGGAACCACCCTTCAAAGGTGATCTGGGTAATAATGGGGCTTAGAAACACTTTCTACCTGCTTTGCTTAGAAAATTATGAAAATGTTTAATAGTGTTACTGAGTTTTGCACAAGTACACTATATTTAGCTGTACCTCAACTGGTCCTGAGCTCAGACACACCCAAGGCAATAAACTGCCCAGTACCACATCACTTCAAGGTGGAAACTAGTAGTGAAATTTTCAGTTCTCTTTATGGTATTCTGATCCTCTTCTCTTCCTCTTCTCTTCCTCTTCTCTTCCTCTTCTCTTCCTCTTCTCTTCCTCTTCTCTTCCTCTTCTCTTCCTCTTCTCTTCCTCTTCTCTTCCTCTTCTCTTCCTCTTCCTCTTCCTCTTCCTCTTCCTCTTCCACCAGCTTTTCACCCATATTTTTTCTGGAAGTTGGACATTTGTACACCCCTTCAGTAACTTCCATTGCAGATATTCTCTGGTAAGTCTCTAACCTTTAAGCACTCATCCCTGCTAATGAACATGGAACACCCAGCATTAATGGGTTGGCCCCATGACACTCTGTGCTACTTGATGTCTCTCTTCTTTCTTCTTGAGATTGGCATAAAGATTGCACCTGTGCTCCTTGCAGGTACTTACACACACCACAGCCTCTGAATAATGTAGACTAATAGAAAAGACTTCAAAGAATCATAACACAGTTTTAAAGGGCTGGAAGGAGAGGCTGATGGGAAATGTTATAAGAATTCCACCTTTCCTGCTTAGCTAAGCAGTAATTTAGAAGGACATGTAAACGCTGTGCGAGTGTTTCAAAGAAAACAAAAAGCAAACAAAAGCTGTGCACGCTGCCCTGGTACTGCAGACAAAGAGAGAAGAAGGGAGAGGCTCCCAGAAAATCATCTGCTTGGGTTTGTCATTTTTAGGCCCTCAGACACAGGGTGAGCAGGCCAATGAAAATATTTAGGGAGATTTGGATGTTATTTGATAGAGGTAAATGCCAAGGGAAAGGAGAGTGGTTTAGCAGTGACCTGAACAAGTCATTATGTGTTTGAAATCAATTATACCCAGGAGCTCATTAGCAACAGAGAATAAATGCCTGTCCTGTGTGTGCTGTGGATATTCTCTTGGATGCCTATCACACATCAAAATACTCTTTGTCAGAGCCACTGAAGGGTTAATAAGAGACTGTTCTTTCCAGGGCAGTGATTTCCTGGAGCAAGTGGCCAGTGAAACCATCAGTGCAAGAGGGATCAGTGACCAGCAGGCACCAGAATTGTCTGGAGAGTTGGAACTGGAAAGAAACTACTGCAGGTCAGTGAATTCTGCCATTTTGTAAGTGAAATGTACACTGCACAATGTCCTTGTCTCCTAATGTTTAGGACTGAGAAAGAAAGAAGAAAAGTTTTGAAGAGCATGCACTCATTTAGGGTGAAATTCCCTCTTATTCACTCTGATGGTACCAGTATGGGGATGCCACCAGAGTGGGACTTCTGAAAAGCAACAACATTGTTTGTGCAAAATTTAGGCAGGCAACAACAGAGCAAAGATTTCAGTGCAAACCTCAGGAGCACATGTTGAATAACTGCTCTGTCTGAACTGAACCTCAGTTATGGTGCATTTTACACTCATAACAAGGGGACAGCAAATATATGTATTTCAAAAATAGAAGGGGCTGACAGTATGTGATTTGTCTGTAATGCTGTCAATGCCCATAACAGCATATAATAGTCATATACAGTTTGAACATATACCCATATACAGGTGTTTCTTGTGACAATACATGCATGAAATCAGGAACACGGAGTCTCTCTCCTTCTTTATGCATATCAATATATATATACATCTCTCTTCTTTCTTGCTGCAGATTTCAAACTTTACAGGTGGGGTGGAAAAGCACTTGGGGAAAATATCCCTGCAGAGACACAAAATCTAAAGGTTCCTGGGACAGCTGAAAAGCCAAAAGGTTACCTTGTCTTACTGCTGGGGTGACAAAATTGACAGATAAACAGCACTGTTAAAAAATTTTATTGCTGTTATCAACAGAACAGTTTTGCTTGAGGGTGGATTGCCCTTTTCCACAGAACAGACCTGTCTCTATACCACTGCCTTGGCAAAGCTGGCGTGGAGGGCAGTCCTGCTCTCACTGCAGCTCTAACAGGAACAGTCACTGCTCCCTTCTCCTGTTCACGTTATGGGCACGAACCTGTCTTGTTTGCCCAAGTTGGGAAAATTTGCAGCTGGAGGAAAGTTGAAGTCCAGGTATTGATGGAAAGAGTTATTGTCAGAACTCCCAGAATGTTGAGTACAAATCCAGCTTTGGCCTAGAATTATAAAAAAAGAAGCACTGTTAGTTGAACTGAGCACTTTCCTTTCTTGCTGGTTGGGATTGTTTGTATTGACAGATTCTCTTTGGCCTTTTTTCACAAGTCCATCAAATTATTTTAAGCTGGTTTTCTTCACAAATATAATTTGTCCTGGGGGGAAACAAGTTTCCATCAGATAAAACTCCTTAACTAGAAGTCCTGAAATCCTTTGAACTCACTCATGTAGAACTTTCTCTTCTGACCTGGTATTTATCCCTAATGTTATTTTGGAATTCCTCTTGAATCACTTGTAAGTTAGAAAAGTTATCAAGAGACATGGCATCTGTGTCCATCTGTCTTTAACACGATGATTTCTCAGGGCATCAGAGCAGCCCAGTGAGATGTGCCAGACTGTCCCCCACCCCTGCAGAAGGACTGCCCAGATGACAGGGCTCTTTGACACCTCTATGCCCTACATGTGGGCTTCTCAAGCACTTAGACATTGTTGTTTCTCATTGGCAGCTCTTCTTGGAACATCTTCAAGAGGCCTTGGCTGTTCTTTAAAAGCTCAATAGCACCTTTCTGAGGCTCTGAGTGAGTGTGACCCTTTATTAATGCACTCGTGTGTCTTCCTTCCATTTTCCATCAGCCCAGCAAAGGGAGATTTCTAACACTCTCCCAAGAAGAACCAATATTAGAAAAAGGAAAGACCAAATCTAGAGGTGAAAATTCTGACAAGAACATGATTTTGCTCACCATATCCATAACCTTGAGCTGTCCATAGGAGAAGACAATGGCATTGGGAGGAGTGGCCACAGGGAGCATGAACGCCAGCGATGCAGAAAGTGTGCAGGGCAGCATGACATAGAGTGGGTTGAGGCAAATGGCTTCAGCCTGTGCAGGAAGAGAGAGCAAAGAAGCTGGTTTGGATACCCCAAACTGCAGAGAAATCTTTTGTCAGAAACCTGATTGTATTTGTCCCTGTCAGAAACCTCGTTCTTCATCAAACACTGCAGCCACTCAGGTTTTGGTGCTGCTTGAGACACTTCTAGTCCATGTCTTTATGCAACAAATGCAAGAATTGATTTTGTGGTCAGGGCTTTGTGTTCCTGAGGCTGCTGTATAAATGGCTAATAATGCTTGCATTCACCTCTAAACCCTGGGAAAAAATTGTAGAGTGGCTTGAGACTGGTTAAGAACAAAATGAAATTATCAGAGGAGACAGGGCAGCCCAAGCTCTGCAGGTGATCAGTTTAAGGGTTTGCTGGAGTGTGTGGCCTATGCCAAAAGATTTTGGGGGAGCTTATTGCATTTTTTGTCTGGAACCAGCTTTTCACAGTGCAGAACTCTGTCTACCCCAGCAACAGGAATCTGCAGTGGAAATGCAAAAAGTCTGAATTAGGTCATGCTATCACCCTCAGAGACTTCTGGAAGGCCAGTGGTCGGAGTGAAATACAGTACTGGAATGTTGCAGGGAAGCAAATGCTGCTGCTGTTGCTGTGTCCATGCAGAACAAATTGGAAAAAACAAGTACAGCTGGCAGTGACCTCATGGGGTTGTTTAGGCCAGAAGGCAAAGTCTAATATGCCAATGGATTTAATCCCTTTACTCTTCCCCAGCAATGATTTTAGAAGGGTTGAACTAAGCACAGTGTATTTATACAGAGATATATTCACACACATACACATATGTATGTTTTAAGTCTTGTATCCCTGTTTGGACACACAAACCAGTGCTTGGCTATGGCAGCCAGTTAATTTTGTCAATTGAGCAGATGTATGCTTGGAGAGGAGTTGAAAACTGTTCTTATAAGAACATTTTGAAATGCTGGAACCTACCATTGAAGCCACAATAGGGAGGAAGAGGGTGGTGGTGGCCACGTTGCTGGTGCACTCAGTGAAAGTGGCAACGAGGAGACACACTAGGAAGGCAATTGCTGAGCGAGGGACGTGCTGCAGAGGGGTCAGTTTGGTACCTAACCATGCAGACAGACCAGATTTCTGTAACAAAAAAAAAAGAGGGCTCTCAGGATAGTAGACTGGAGAGGAAATAACCACATTGCAGTCCAGTTACAGTTCTCATGTCAATTCGACCTTCCCTTGTCATAGCAGTTCTCATACAAACTGCTCTCTGCAGAAAAACATGTAGGAGCCAGTGTTCATAGAGAGGAAATGAACATGCTTTCCCTTCCAAAGAATTTGAAAGAAGAAGATACTACATTTGTAGTGCATTATTGATAGCTCAGATCAGTTGTACATGATCAATATTTCGGGCACTTTTTAATGTAAACAAAGGTCTTTGAAATAATTTTCTAAAATGCTTTTATGTATCTTAGCAGATGTTTTAGTGATTTAATGTGATTTCATCACATTATCTGAGATAATTATCTGAAGCTTTTCACACCCTCCATTCTTCTCAGTCACTGGAAAGTCCCAACATCATCCCTGTCATTCTGGGCCTTCTACTGCAGCTTTTTTGTATTTGATGACTTATTCTAGAATAAATCATTCTAATTTCTTAAATCTTTCCTTTAAAAAGCATGTTTCCCATTCTTACTACCTTCCTCTTTCTTCATACAGCCATATATCGTTGAAGACTGATAGCCAAAACTGAATAAATTAATGTACCTGAGGACTTAGTCCTGAGAGAAGGATTATACTTTACATGTTTTATGTATGATCAGCTTGCCTATAGTTTCCAGCTGTTTGCTTTTTTCTCAGTAGTAATATTAAAACACTGACAAGAATAAGGTGTATGAGCAGCTTTAAAACTCAACCTGTTGTTTCCACATCTTACATTTTTGATACTTGATTATTTCCTCCTGTTTCCCAAACTGAGCTGCATCCTTGTTCTCTAGAAACACTTTTGCAGTTAATTTTGATCTTTGAATTCTGAACTAGTATTCCAGGCACTTGAAGCCTTTTCCAGTTTTTTTATTGTCTTTATACTTCATAATTGTATTTATCATCATTTACCATCACTCAAATCGTTACTGAAAAACAACGTGTAGCACTGGACTCCTGGCAGGTTCCTGCAGAAGTACAGCACCACATCCTTTCAGTCTGATGATTTTATCTGCTCCTGAAGTTTCTCTAGCAAGCTCTGAATTTGTCTTCTAGCAGTTTAATTTAAATCCTATTTCCATAAGTTGTTTGTTTGAGATAATGTACCCAGGATGGGTCTCTAAACTATCTCCTCACACTTGCCACATCAATTAATTTTTATTTAAAGAACCTTTAACGTGTTGAGGTAGTTTCTTAATCATCCACTTCTTCAGAAACACAGTTAATCATGTTGTCCTGATTGGTAGTACCATCCCATTGCACAGCTAACAATAAGGATTTGGTCTAATCACAGGACTCCTCCCAAAGATGGTGAGGTCTGTCCCACTGCCAGTAGCTGAGGAAAGGAACATTCGATGCTCCCAGTGTGCCCTCTTGTGTCCTGGGACAGCATGAAGAGCAAGGTGGGAAACACGCAGGAAGACACAGATCCCAGGTAAGCCAAGGAATGTTACCTCACTGCCTTTGGCTAAGGCAAAACCACCTCCCAGCAGAAACACAATACTCCACGGCATTTTCTGGTGAACTGTTTTCCAGTCCAGGAGAGGTGGAGGTGCTTGGAACTTTGACTTGCCATCTGAAATCCAAAAAGATTTTGTAAGCCATATTACATTCTCCAAAGAAAGGAGAACTTCTTGGTGGGACCTGACTTTAGTCTGAACATCAGGAAAACCTTCTGTCAGCAAGACCTGGAATTACCTCCCGAAGCAAATGCTAAAAGCTTCACCAACAAAGGTTTTAAAACTTGACTTGCAAAAACACTAATGAATGATCTGCAGCTGCTTCCAAAAGCACAGTACAATGCAGGGAAGGGTGAGCAAAAAGTGTGGCAAGATATCTGCAGAACTGTGTGTGTTTCTGTTGTTTTGTCTCCTGAAGATTCCAGCCTCAGAAGCTTTTACACGTGTATAGCAGAGGCAGGAACACTGCTGGGATAAGAGTTTCCTACTTGGTTAAATAATGAGAAGCAGAGAACTTTTATGGGATATGTGCCTTGCCTAACCTAAACAAAAGCTGTAGCTATGCAGGAAGAGCAGTTTGAAATCTTATTTAATATTTGAAATTTCCTTTGTAAACCTCAAACGTGAAACTTCTCATGTACCTATTCTGGCAGTTGATTTTTGATGCTTCAGTAAACTCACCTGTTTGTGCATTGGAAAAGCCAGAAGGGATGATGAACAACAAAATTGCAATGAACATGGCAACTGTACCATCAGTGACAAACCTGCAACAGATCAATCAGATATTTAGTCAGCTATGTTTTCATTTCTATAAAATCCAGCATATTTAATTTTATTCAAAATGAGGAGTAATGGTAGTACTTTTTTTTTTTGTTGAAAAGATTTGTTGCCCAGCCTGTAGTAAAACCAGGATCTCTTGTAAACCAGAGCACTACCAGGAGTATGAAGAGGGACAAAACTGCTATTTCTGCAAATTTCATTCTGCCCAACTTCCTGCTCTCTTCCTGGATGACAGCATAGGCCTCTTTCTCCTTAGTCTTTTCTGCGGCATTTGCAGTACAACCAAAATTCTCCTTAAAACTAGAAGAAAATGGACAAGAAATATCAGAGACACTTGCCAGATAGCCTCAGTTAAGAATTCAAATTTTAGACTCAGTCATAATGTCTTTTAGATATATGAATATTGACATTAAATATATTATAATCATAGCATTGGCAGTCGTGGTGGGTACTAACTGCATAGCACCATGGCTTGCCAAGGTGATCAGAAGGAAGCTTCCTGCCCCTAAAAGCTCATGATTTAAATACAAAAAGAATTATGGTATCTGAGCACATGGGGAAAATACTGTAGAATCACAGAACTGTTTGGATTGGAAGGGGCCTTGAAGACCATCTCATTGCAACCCCCTGCCAAGGGCAGGGATCCCTTCCACTAGACCAGGACAAGGTCAGTGTGACTGACAAGGCTATATGACCACAAGGAAGTAAAGAGTTGCCAAGCTCTTTAAAATGACAGAAAATGAGAATTTTAAAGGAGGAATTTGAAGATGAAAATACCATTTCAGGTATTACAGCACTCTTGCTATGTAAAACAAGGGAGGCTGGGAATAATACAAACTTGATAGGCTAAGTATTAAACAGGTAGGTAATGTAAGCTGGGTATTGGGGGTGATTAGCATTGGAAATAATAGCACAAGACTAATCCTCTAGGTCTGAAGCAACTCTTGTCACAAAGGCATTTCCTGCTTTGAAGCACAGCAATCTCTTGGGACATGACAACAATGCCACAGAACAGGTCATATGCTGTTAGAACTTCCTATTTGCATCTACAGAGTGTGTTTCTCTGGGATTTGATCAGATTCCTCAGAGAAAAAGGTGCAGTATTTTAACAGACACTGAGTGTGCTGTTCTGCTTGTCTCTGTTCTGTGTGAGGAATTTGTCACTTGCTGTGTGACTTTCCCCATCAATAAAAGGATCACTTGTGCAATGAGTCCTTGATCAGGCCCATCAGCTGGAAGGCAGAGGGTGAAGGGTACTCACTTAAAGCCCAAGTACAGTATCTGTAGCCAAATCCATGCCAAAACCAGTAACAAAATCATGGTGGGGAAGGCAAAGGAGAACCAGGAGACAAAGGTGATGACACCACCATTATTAGGATAGAGCCTGTAAAATGCAGGAAGCTGTTAGCATCCAAAATTCCACATTCTCTTCTGTATTTACTTAATGAATTAGAACAGGGGAGGTACTGTGAGGCCCCTTAAGGAAGAGAAGCTCACTTCCCAGCAAAGTTACCCAACTGATATTTTTTTCTCTGTGCTACCTGGAAGTCAGTTGTACAGAATGATGCAGTTTCATGGGTATTAAATCCCACATTCAACCAGACTTACTCTTCAACTTGTCCTTGCAGTACCAGATTTGGTCCTGTCCCAGTCAGAGTTGCAATTCCTCCAATACTGGCTGCGTAACAAATAGAGAGAGACATTCCCTTGCAGAGTTTCAAGTGTTTCTGCTCTAGGGGATCTTCGTTTCCCTCGATTGTCACGACATGAGTATTACCTGGATCCCAAGGAACAAAAGAGATGCAGAAGCTTGGTTGGACAGGAAAAGATATTGTGCCTGCAAAGCTCAGTATTTCAAGGCTAGGACATAAACCTGAAGGAAGCAAATTTCCCCTTTTTAAGACTTTAATTTTTTGATCTTCTCCCATTTTGCTGACACTTCTTGGTGAACTAGGGTGATGTCTGAACTGCATGTGGAGGGGAGAGAGGTAAGAATTCCAGGAGTTACAACAGAGCCAGAGGAGCTGGGCTGAAGGGAACTTGTTCTGTACCAGCATCTGACTGCTGGCACTGGGACTTACAGAAACACTGGAGTCATCTCAAACATGAGGAGAGGGCAAGACAGGTGGTAAAGAGATAGTGTTGCTTGATTGTGTAGCTTTGGATTAGAAAGATCATTTTAATCCCTACCCTTCTGGCTTGAAATAGGCCAGAAATTTTCCTGTGAGAATTCCATATTATCTGATCTGTTCCACAGTAGGCAAGAATTGAACTAAGACAAAGATACAGAAAAATATCAAGCCTCATGGAAAGGCTTCAGCCAATGGAGAATGTATTCCTGTTGTTTGTTTATTGATTAGTTATCATCTCTTTGCATCTTTTGATCTCTTTCAAACTTCAGTCAAGTCAGCAGATCTTATGGTGGTTTTGTGTGGCTCACAGAAGAGCCTCATCAATGCTGTGTGATGCAGTCAGGATGCTTGAGGTGTGTTCTTCTTTTAGAATTTACTGTCAAGTCTTATGACAGTGAAGAAGGCATCAGGTCATCCTCCATCAACCCGAAGAGAAAGCTGCCCAGAATTCACTCACCTTTCCCCTCTGGAGTTGACCCTTCCTGCACTTCACCAGCACCACTGGACTCCAGCTCTGACTTGTGCAGCTGTTCCAGCACTGCCTGTGCTATGGGGACCATCATGGCAGTGGTGGCCGTGTTGCTGATCCACATTGACAGGAAGGCAGTCACGACCATGAATCCCATGAGAAGTCTGGAATGAGAAGGTTTGGAAAAGCTGGATCAGAACTCAGCACTGCAATGCTCTATTTTTGCTGCAAAGATTCGACCACAAGTGCTGGGTTTGGAAGATGCTCAGCAATTCCCACCCAACACTTCCTCTTACCCTGGTCTACTTTGTGAGTGACATGGTGAGATTTTTACATTCATTTTTCTTTTTTTTTCCAATTTCAACCAATTTTTTACATTCTTATGACCAGGAAAGTGGAACCTGGTAGCTTGGAGCAAACAATTTACCTAGTCAGGTCCTGCTTATTCTGCATGCTTCCAAGGAAGACATGCCATCTCAATAGCACATGTTAATGCAGTATAATGTATTGTAAAGAGGAATTCCAAGCTGAATTTTTATCCCAAGTGGCAATCAGTTTAAGCCATAAGGATGAGGATCTCTGTTTTTCTGTAATTTTATCCCATCTCTATTATTTAAGATTCTCTTCTTACTCATCTAAAATTCTAATCCTCCTTTCAGTATTACTCTGTGATTTGCCTCAAAATTATTCTTTAGATGAGATGTAGATTATACATGAGATGGAAAGGGGTTTATCTTGTATGCATTTTTATTCTATTGCTTTGTAATTTCCTTCAGTATTCCCTCTCGTTAGGAGCTAAAACAGATTAAATAGGGTGCTGTAGCCTTTGCATAGCTTAGAGTTCTAGTCTGGAAAATACTTGTTGTTTTGCAAACAAGCATCCTCATGTTTTCTCTTCTCTTGGCAATCAGTGTAGCAGGCAGAGAGTCCATGTTTGCTGTGTTTCATCTGTGGTCTTTCCTGAGTGTCTGAAGCTGTGTCTTACCACCATTGACTCTCTTGTTGTTATTTCTCCACCTAAAACCATTTGGAATTCAGAAAAGGCACGCCAGGTCTGTAACACTTCACGGGATCCCCATTTGCAAGGTTAGCTCAGGCCCTAACTCACTTGGACTGCAGGAAAGCATTTGTAGGCTGTGATTTGCAGATTCACATATGTCACATAAGTTCCTTTATCCCATGGTGTTTTTATGACTGTTACTCACAGGGCTGGTCTGACACCAGTGATAAGCAAGACCCGCAGAGCCATACGCCTGTGTAGGTGCCAGTTCTCAATGGCAATGGCCACCAGCAGTCCCCCAACAAAAAGCATATTGGTGTTCTTTAAATATTCCCGACAGACCTGTAATGTGGAACAAGGGAGAGAAAACAGTCAGAAGAAGCCAAGAGAGAAGGCATTTTCTGAGGGAGGTTGTTCCAAAACCATTAGCACAGAGTAACTGTGGGTTGTTTTTGAAGAGTGAATTTGCTTTGATTTCAGATTAGCAGCTCCACCCAGAGCTCACTGTGGGCTCGTGCAAGTTGTATTCCATGAAGAAGACAACCAGTTCCCTCTGTAAGAGCAATGGAATAGTAAAAGTAGTTATTAGTAATACTACTAATGCTAATTATTGTTATTAGTATTGTTATTGTTAATGTTAATATTATTATTTTCTGAGAAATAATCCCAGAATAAGAGAAGCTGACCAATTAATATATAACGTATGCTGTAAAATCTCTTACTGTGTTTGCATCCATGATATTCATTAGTGGGAACAGCAGGACGGGCAGGAGAGCTGTGACAGCCAATGGCAGGGCTTCTGTGCACCAGAAAACTGCCATCACTATGATAACATAACCACATCTGGCCTCCTGGGGGGCAAGAGGAGGGAGAGGAGACATGATCAGAACACTCCACCTTCCAGAAGGCAATGGCACATAATTGCATTCACTGGGATTAGAGGAAAGCAGACAGGTTGGAGAAGGAAATCTGAAAAGATTCATGAAGAGATGAAAATATTCCTTTTTGAGCCTTATTTTTGAGTGAGAGCAGTAAGAACCTTAATAATCCATCCCGTCAAGCACTGAAAGAAATTTTTCATCTTGATGACCCTTTTTATCTATTTTTGTTCTTAAAAGACATCAATGAGTGCCTTTTGAGAGACCCTAGCAGGGCTTTGGCACGTATGTCATAGGCACATATTGGCTTCCATCCTGCTGTGAACAAGCTCTTGGTAAAAGTGGGAAAAAGGTTTTTCACAATGTCAGTTTTTCTGTAAGGACATTTGTCTGTCTTTAAGCTAAAACTTTAGCATTGTTTGCTCTCAGTTTTAGTAGTTGTCTGCTAAACCGTGTCCATCCCAAATTGAGTTGGGGTTTATTAATGTGAATAGGTTTGTGGGGGTTTTTTTTGGTTGGTTTTTTTTTTTGGTTGGTTTTTTTTTAATTTTTTTTTCTACCACTTCAATAGAAAGCAGCTCGTAAAGAATTAGCTTTAGCCTGAGGCAGTTCTGTGCTGTCTGTGTGTGCTTCCTGGCGTTTTTGCCGAACTTGCTAAAAGTTTCCTAACCTTGGATAAGAAATAGAACTTTTGTAAGTAAGGCGGATTGGGATAAGAACAGGAGAAAAAAAAAAAAGAAAAGAAAAAAGGGAAAAAAGTTAAAGAATATGGGCATTGGATACTGTTAGAAAATCAGAAGGGATTAAAACTGGACCTTAGACTGTAATTTAGGTTCACAGCTATAGTCTCCAGCATAGAAAGTCCTTTGCTAAACCAGTCAGATGCAAAGCAAAAGTCACAAATCGCATGTCACTGAGTGTTCTTCAAGAAGACTGATGGTCTGTTCACTGTGTCACTTACAAGGAGCAGCTCCGAGATGTGGAATTCAAAAAGTCCTTACCTTGGTAGGCACCGCCAGAGGCAGAGCGAGGGGCAAAACGATTACCGTGACGACGATGAGGTATTTCCTGAAGGCTAGGATCACCTCCAAGATGCCAGCCATGGCTCCGGAGCTATCCCAGTGCTGAAAGGCCCGGGATCTGCCGCTGGAGGCAACGGGCACGGCCGTTCACCCGCCGCCAACCGCCCCCCGCGATCCCCCCGAGCCGCTGCCGTTCGGGGCCACCCACTGCTGAAGGGGACTCTTAAACATTGTCTGCTAAACCGCGCCCGTTCCAAATTGAGTTGGGGTTTATTAATATGAATTTGTGTTTTTTTCTTTTTCTTTTTTTTTTTCTTTAATTTTTTTCTAGCGCTTGAATAGAAAACAGTACATAAAAGAATTAGTGTGGAACTGTTTCACTCTAAAGCTATGCGTGTGCTTCTAACGTACCATGAGCCTTGCATTTTTGCTTAACTCGATGAGAATTGCCTAACCTTAGATAAGGGATATAACTTTTGTAAGTAAGGGGGATTGAGGAAAGAACTTTTGCAAGTCGGTAGGACGGATCTCTTCCAACTGACACCTGACTAATTAGCATTCAGCATTCAAGGAAGAATGAAAAAAAAATGAAAAAAAAAGAGTCATCCAAGAGGAAAAGAAGTCATCCAACACTACTAAGAATTAATATACGGTTGGAACAAAGACTGTGTAACACTGGACTCTAATTGTAATAAAAGGACGATAGATGGCAGCAAAGACCGTGAAATAATTACAGCAACCCTACATAGTGGGAGGCGCGGAAAAGGCGGGATTTAACACGAATGTGTAATGACTTTCGCGAATATAAGGTTTTTGCTTTTGTCATTCCGTTCGACGCACTCATGGAGGGTTATCCCCAGTGCTGTCAATGAAAACGAACGCGATTCACATTGGTCAGACTTTGATGCTGAGTAAATATCTTTGTTTCAGTACCTGTGGGACCGGCTGGGCGCCGAGCGCGGCTACCACGGCCACAACAGCAGCGGCTCCGCCGGCTGCGGGAACAGCAGCGCTGCCGCCGACCCGCTGCGGCAGGTGAGGGGGCACCGGGGGAGAGGGGACAAGGGAATCCTCAGGGAGCCCTGGGGGACCAGGGCGGAACAGGGAAAGGGAGCGGGGGAAAGGGGAGCTCCAGGGGGTAGATGGGGAGTCGGCGGGAGAGGGGACACCCAGGGGGAGCGGGGTGCTCCGGGGAAGCCCCGGGGAAAAGGGGAGTCCGGGAGAGCTCCGGGGAAAGAGGGGACTCTGGGCAAGTGGATAAACCAGGAGCCCAAAAGGAGCAGGGGGTCCGAGGGGAGCCCTGGGGGTGCAGAGAGCCCATGGGAGTGGGGAGGAGCAGGGGAAGAGGGGAGCTCAGGAGGAGTGGGGTGTCCGGGGAGACAGTGGAGCCCCAAGGGGATCAGAGAGCCCGGAGGGGAAGGGCAGCTTGGGGAGAGCGGGAGAGTGGAGAGCCCAGGGTGGCACTGGGTGCTGTTGAGAGTCCTGAGCCGCCTGTTTCTCTTGCAGGAGGTGGAAGCCCTGGTCTCCCACTGGAACCTCTACATCAACTTGGGGGGCTTCTTTGTCTGTCTCTTCTCCGTGACTCTCTTTGGACCATGGAGCGACAGCGTGGGCCGCCGTCCGGCGCTCATCCTGTCGACAGCGGGCATAGCCCTGCAAACGTCCATCTACCTGCTGGTCATATACCTGGAGCTGCACGTCGCCTACTTGCTCCTGGGACGCCTTCTGAGTGGCCTGTCAGGAGACTACAACCTGGTCCTGGCCAGCTGCTTTGCCTACGTGGCCGAGACCAGTGACAGGCGTGCGCGGACGTTCCGGGTGGCCATCCTCGAGGCGTGCCTGGGCATCGCGGGCATGCTGGCCAGCATCGGTGGTGGCCAGTGGCACAAGGCCCAGGTGGAAGTTCTCTTTAATCCCTGGCTTTTTTCCTTCTTGTCACAGTGCATTTTGGAGCCAAGGACCTCTTGTTTTTTTTGTGAGCTTGGCTTCCCTCTCTGCTGGGCTTTCTGACCTCGTTGGGTACGGCCTCCTAAATCCCTTTCAGAAGAAAATTACAAATTTCCTAACAATGGGAGTATTCCTTTGGAATTTGCCTTGCTTATCATATTTTCTGTGGAAGTCGAGGAATACTGCAGCTAGAGATAAAACACCTTCTTGGTACCACAACCTTTAACCAAGTTTCTGGCCAGTTAGTGACATGATTGGTTCTAAACAGGATGATTAATATTTAGCTAACTAGAAGACAGCTAACAGTGTTCTACTCCTGCCAGAGGCTTAGGCTAGCACATGATTATCTTCTTATAACTGGCTTGGCAGAAATGTGCATGTGTTGGTTTGGGTTGTTTTTTTGGGTTTTTTTTAGCCCCTTAACTCTGTCTAATAACCAGTACAACTGGTCTGTCTTCTTTCTTTCTTGGAGTGTGCTTGGATCTTCCTAACTGCAGTGCTCTGTAAGCAGCCAGTGCCACTACATGCACACCCTTTTAGCATTCCTCCACTTCCATAGACTTTTGGGCAGCATTTGTCCCAAGGTTGCCAAAATTCACTGACAATAGTAATGGGAGAAATACAAATGCATCATCAGGATTAATAGAGCTGTGTTGTGGAAAAACTGGTTTAGGAATACAACTAAGGTTTAGTTCTTGAATCATGGAATCTCAGGATATTTTTGGTTGGAAGGGACCTTGTTCCAAACCTCTGCCATGGGCAGGGGCACCTTCCACTAGACCAGGATGAAATGTGAGTTTCTTATGAGCTCATCACAGCCTCTGAATAATGTAGACTAACAAAAAAGACTTCAAAGAGTCATAACACAGTTTTAAAGGGCTGGAAGGAGAGGCTGATGGGAAATGTTATAAGAATTCCACCTTTCCTGCTTAGCTAAGCAGTAATTTAGAAGGACATGTAAACGCTGTGCGAGTGTTTTAAAGAAAACAAAAAGCAAACAAAAGCTGTGCACGCTGCCCTGGTGCTGCAGACAAAGAGAGAAGAAGGGAGAGGCTCCCAGAAAATCATCTGCTTGAGTTTGTCATTTTTAGGCCCTCAGACACAGGGTGAACAGGCCAATGAAAATATTTAGGGAGATTTGGATGTTATTTGATAGAGTTAAATGCCAAGGGAAAGGAGAGTGGTTTAGCAGTGACCTGAACAAGTCATTATGTGTTTGAAATCAATTATACCCAGGAGCTCATTAGCAACAGAGAATAAATGCCTGTCCTGCTTGTGCTGTGGATATTCTCTTGGATCCCTATCACACATCAAAACACTCTTTGTCAGAGCCACTGAAGGGTTAATAAGAGACTGTTCTTTCCAGGGCAGTGATTTCCTGGAGCAAGTGGCCAGTGAAACCATCAGTGCAAGAGGGATCAGTGACCAGCAGGCACCAGAATTGTCTGGAGAGTTGGAACTGGAAAGAAACTACTGCAGGTCAGTGAATTCTGCCATTTTGTAAGTGAAATGTATACTGCACAATGTCCTTGTCTCCTAATGTTTAGGACTGAGAAAGAAAGAAGAAAGGTTTTGAAGAGCACGCACTCAGGGTGAAATTCCCTCTTATTCACTCTGATGGGACCAGTATGGGGATGCCACCAGAGTGGGACTTCTGAAAAGCAACATTCTTTGTGCAAAATTTAGGCAGGCAGCAGCAGAGCAAAGATTTCAGTGCAAACCTCAGGGGCACATGTTGAATAACTGCTCTGCCTGAACCCAACCTCAGTTATGATACTAAGAGGTAGTTTTGGCAAAGTGTCTTTGCATATTCCCGTGGCTTTGTCAGTTTGATCATTAGGAGTTTATGTGCTACTGAAAGTCAGTTGCAGCAGAATAGGGATTAAATATTTAAAAGGAAAATCTTGGGTTTGACATTCCAAGAAAATTCGACTGTCAATAATAATAAAGTATTTACTACTTTTAAGATAAGAGAAAATCAATTATGCTGATTTCTCTGATTATTTAAAGATATTTTAAATAAGCAAACAGACAAATAGTTGATACATGGAAGACAGAAGCAGTGATATATAATTAAAAAATTATGCAGAACACAGAGGTACATTAAAAAAATCTTTAATTCAATTGTTTATTCTAGGACACAGGGGTTCTTTCCTTCTCAGGGGAACACTGCTGGTCCTATCATGATCTTGCAGGGTGTAATCTGACATAAATAACAATGGGGAAAAAATAGTCTTTTACATTCATAACAAGAGGCCTGCAAATAAATATATTTCAAAAATAGAAGGGGCTGACAGTATGTGATTTGTCTGTAATGCTGTCAGTGCCCATAACAGTATATAACAATCATGTACGGTTTGAACATATACACATATACATGTGAATAGTCATGTTAATTGTGACAAGACAGAGGTCTATGCATGAAATCAGGAACACAGAGTCTTTCTTTTATATATATATACACACTTCTCTTTTTTCTCACAGCAGATTTCAGACTTTACAGGTGGGGTGGAAAAGCACTTGGGGAAAATGCCCCTCCAGAGACAAAAATTCTAAAGGTTCCTGGGACAGCAGAAAAGCCAAAAGGTTACCTCATCTTACTGACAAAACTGCCAGCTAACAGCACTGTTGTGCAATTTTATTGCTGTTATCAAGAGAACAGTTTTGCTTGCAGGTGGCTTGTCCTTTTCCAGAAGACAGGGCTGTTTCTATACCACTGCCTTGGCAAAGCTGGCATGGAGGGCAGTCCAGCTCTCACTGCAGCTCTAACAGGAACAGTCACTGCTCCCTTTGCCTCTCCACCTTATGGGCACATGCCTGTCTTATTTGCCCAAGATGGGAGAGTTTGCAGCTGGAACAAAGATGAAGACCAGGTATTGATGGCAAGAGTTATTGTCAGAACTCCCAGAATGTTGAGTACAAATCCAGCTTTGGCCTAGAATTATAAAAAAAGAAGCACTGTTAGTTGAACTGAGCACTTTTTTTCCTTCCTTGCTGGTCGGGATTGTTTGTATGGATAGATTCTGTCTTTGATCTTTCTTTACAACTCAACCAGAACTCCATCAAATTACATTTAAGCTGTTTTTCTTCACAAATATAATTTGCCCTGGGGGGAAACGAGTTTCCATCAGATAAAACTCCTTAACTAGAAGTCCTGAAATCCTTTGAACTCACTCATGTAGAACTTTCTCTTCTGACCTGGCATTTATCCCTAATGTTACTTTGGAATTCTTCTTGGATCACTTGTAAGTTAGAAAAGTTATCAAGAGACATGGCATCTGTGTCCATCTGTCTTTAACATGATGATTTCTCAGGGCATCAGAGCAGCCCAGTGAGATGTGCCAGACTGTCCCCCACCCCTGCAGAAGGACTGCCCAGATGACAGGGCTCTTTGACACCTCTATGCCCTACATGTGGGCTTTTCAAGCACTTAGACATTGCTGTTTCTCATTGGCAGCTCTTCTTGGAACATCTTCAAGAGGCCTTGGCTGTTCTTTAAAAGCTCAATAGCACCTTTCTGAGGCTCTGAGTGAGTGTGACCCTTTATTAATGCACTCGTGTGTCTTCCTTCCATTTTCCATCAGCCCAGCACAGGGAGATTTCTAACACTCTCCCAAGAAGAACCAATATTAGAAAAAGGAAAGACCAAATCTAGAGGTGAAAATTCTGACAAAAACATGATTTTGCTCACCATATCCATAACCTTGAGCTGTCCATAGGAGAAGACAATGGCATTGGGAGGAGTGGCCACAGGGAGCATGAACGCCAGCGATGCAGAAAGTGTGCAGGGCAGCATGACATAGAGTGGGTTGAGGCAAATGGCTTCAGCCTGTGCAGGAGGAGAAAGCAAAGAAGCTGGTTTGGATACCCCAAACTGCAGAGAAATCTTTTGTCAGAAACCTGATTGTATTTGTCCCTGTCAGAAACCTCCTTCATCAGACACTGCAGCCACTCAGGTTTTGGTGCTGCTTGAGACACTTCTAGTCCATGTCTTTATGCAACAAATGCAGGAATTGATTTTGTGGTCAGGGCTTTGTGTTCCTGAGGCTGCTGTATAAATGGCTAATAATGCTTGCATTCACCTCTAAACCCTGGGAAAAAATTGTAGAGTGGCTTCAAACTGGTTAAGAACAAAACGAAATTATCAGAGGAGACAGGGCAGCCCAAGCTCTGCAGGTGATCAGTTTAAGGGTTTGCTGGAGTGTGTGGCCTATGCCAAAAGATTTTGGAGGAGCTTATTGCAGTTTCTCTCTGGAACCAGCTTTTCACAGTGCAGAACTCTGTCTACCCCAGCAACAGGAATCTGCAGTGGAAATGCAAAAAGTCTGAATTAGGTCATGCTATCACCCTCAGAGACTTCTGGAAGGCCAGTGGTCGGAGTGAAATACAGTACTGGAATGTTGCAGGGAAGCAAATGCTGCTGCTGTTGCTGTGTCCATGCAGAACAAATTGGAAAAAACAAGTACAGCTGGCAGTGACCTCATGGGGTTGTTTAGGCCAGAAGGCAAAGTCTAATATGCCAATGGATTTAATCCCTTTACTCTTCCCCAACAATGATTTTAGAAGGGTTGAACTAAGCACAGTGTATTTATACAGAGATATATTCACACAGATAAACATTTGTGTAAGTCTTGTATCCCTGTTTGGACACACAAACCAGTGCTTGGCTATGGCAGCCAGTTAATTTTGTCAATTGAGCAGGTGTATGCTTGGAGAGGAGTTGAAAACTGTTCTTATAAGAACATTTTGAAATGCTGGAACCTACCATTGAAGCCACAATAGGGAGGAAGAGGGTGGTGGTGGCCACGTTGCTGGTGCACTCAGTGAAAGTGGCAACGAGGAGACTCAACAGGAAAGCAATTGCTGCGTGAGGGATGTTTTCAAGAGGAGTCAGTTGGTTACCTAACCATGTAGACAGACCAGATTCCTGTAACAGAGGAAAAAGGGCTATCAGGACAGTAGGTTGGTGAGGAAATAACCACATTGCAGTCCAGTTACAGTTCTCATGTCAATTCGACCTTCCCTTGTCATAGCAGTTCTCATACAAACTGCTTTCTGCAGAAAAACATGTAGGAGCCAGTGTTCATAGAGAGGAAATGAACATGCTTTCCCTTCCAAAGAATTTGAAAGAAGAAGATACTACATTTATATGAAGACACAGATCCCAGGTAAGCCAAGGAATGTTACCTCACTGCCTTTGGCTAAGGCAAAACCACCTCCCAGCAGAAGCACAATGTGCCATGGCATTTTTTCGTGAACTATTTTCCAGTTCAGGAGAGGTGGAGGTGCTTGGAACTTCGACCTGCCACCTGAAATCCAAAAAGATTTTGTAAGCCATATTACATTCTCCAAAGAAAGGAGAACTTCTTGGTGGGACCTGACTTTAGTCTGAACATCAGGAAACCCTTCTGTCAGCAAGACCTGGAATTACCTCCCAAAGCAAATGCTAAAAGCCTCACCAACAAAGGTTTTAAAACTTGACCTGCAAAAACACTAATGAATGATCTGCAGCTGCTTCCAAAAGCACAGTACAATGCAGGGAAGGGTGAGCAAAAAGTGTGGCAAGATATCTGCAGAACTGTGTGTGTTTCTGTTGTTTTCTCTCCTGAAGATTTCAGCCTCAGAAGCTTTTACACGTGTATAGTAGAGGCAGGAACACTGCTGGGATAAGAGTTTCCTACTTGGTTAAATAATGAGAAGCAGAGAACTTTTATGGGATATGTGCCTTGCCTAACCTAAACAGAAGCTGTAGCTCTGCAGGAAGAGCAGTTTGAAATCTTATTTAATATTTGAAATTTCCTTTGTAAACCTCAAATGTGAAACTTCTCATGTACCTATTCTGGCAGTTGATTTTTGATGCTTCAGTAAACTCACCTGTTTGTCCACTGTTGGAAAAGCCAGAAGGAATGATGAACAACAAAAGTGAAATAAAGATGGCAACTGTAGCATCAGTGACGTAGCTGCAACAGACCAGTCAGATATTTAGTCAACTATGTTTTCATTTTTATAAAATCCAGCATGCTTATTTTACTCAAATTGAGGAAGAAAAGTCGTAGTACCTTATATCATCTTTGTTGAAAAGAACAGTTGCCCAGCCTGGTATGAACCCAGGTTCTCTTGTAAACCAGAGCAGTACCAGGAGTATGAACAGGATCAAAACTACTATTTCTGCAAATTTCATTCTACCCAACTTCTTGCTCTCTTCCTTGATGACAGCATAGGCCTCTTTCTCCTTAGCCTTGGCAGAGGGACTTGAACCACAACCAAAATTTTTCTTAAAACTAGAAGAAAATGGACAAGAAATATCAGAGACACTTGCCAGATAGCCTCAGTTAAGAATTCAAATTTTAGACTCAGTCATAATGTCTTTTAGACATATGAATATTGACATTAAATATATTATAATCATAGCACTGGCAGTCGTGGTGGGTACTAACTGCATTGCACCATGGCTTGCCAAGGTGATCAGAAGGAAGCTTCTGCCAAGGGCAGGGATCCCTTCCACTAGACCAGGACAAGGTCAGTGTGACTGACAAGGCTATATGATCACTAGGAAGTAAAGAGTTGCCAAGCTCTTTAAAATGACAGAAAATGAGAATTTTAAAGGAGGAATTTGAAGATGAAAATACCATTTCAGGTATTACAGCACTCTTGCTATGTAAAACAAGGGAGGCTGGGGATAATACAAACTTGATAGGCTAAGTATTAAACAGGTAGGTAATGTAAGCTGGGTATTGGGGGTGATTAGCATTGGAAATAATAGCACAAGACTAATCCTCTAGGTCTGAAGCAACTCTTGTCACAAAGGCATTTCCTGCTTTGAAGCACAGCAATCTCTTGGGACATGACAGCAATGCCACAGAACAGGTCATATGCTGTTCGAACTTCCTATTTGCATCTACAGAGTGTGTTTATCTGGGATTTGATCAGATTCCTCAGAGAAAAAGGTGCAGTATTTTAACAGACACTGAGTGTGCTGTTCTGCTTGTCTCTGTTCTGTGTGAGGAATTTGTCACTTGCTGTGTGACTTTCCCCATCAATAAAAGGATCACTTGTGCAATGAGTCCTTGATCAGGCCCATCAGCTGGAAGGCAGAGGGTGAAGGGTACTCACTTAAAGCCCATGTACAGTATCTGTAGCCAAATCCATGCCAAAACCAGTAACAAAATCATGGTGGGGAAGGCAAAGGAGAACCAGGAGGCAAAGTTGATGACACCACCATTGTCAGGAAAGAGCCTGTGAAATGCAGGAAGCTGTTAGCATCCAAAATTCCACATTCTCTTCTGTATTTACTTAATGAATTAGAACAGGGGAGGTACATTAAGGAAGAGAAGCTCACTTCCCAGCAAAGTTACCCAACTGATATTTTTTTCTCTGTGCTGCCTGGAAGTTGGTTGTACAGGATGATGCAATTTAGCGGGTTTGTAATCCCACATTCAACCAGACTTACTCATTAACTTGTCCTTGCAGTACCAGATTTGGTGTTGTCCCAGTCAGAGTTGCAATTCCTCCAATACTGGCTGAGTAACAAATAGAGAGAGACATTCCCTTGCAGAGTTTCAAGTGTTTCTGCTCTACCAGATCTTCATTTCTCTTTCTGTCTTCCTCGATTGTCAGGACATGAGCATTACCTGGATCCCAAAGAACAAAAGATATTGTGCCTGCACGACTCAGTATTTCAAGGCTAGGACACAATGGACTCAAAGCTGAAGGAACCAAATTTCCTCTTTTTAAGACTAGCATTGTTAATTTTTTGATCTTCTCCCATTTTGCTGACACTTCTTGGTGAACTAGGGTGATGTCTGAACTGCACATGGAGGGGAGAAAGGTAAGAATTCCAGGAGTTACAACAGAGCCAGAGGAGCTGGGCTGAAGGGAACTTGTTCTGTACCAGCATCTGACTGCTGGCACTGGGACTTACAGAAACACTGGAGTCATCTCAAACATGAGGAGAGGGCAAGACAGCTGGTAAAGAGATAGTGTTGCTTGATTGTGTAGCTTTGGATTAGAAAGATCATTTTAATCCCTACCCTTCTGGCTTGAAATAGGCCAGAAATTTTCCTGTGGGAATTCCATATTATCTGATCTGTTCCACAGTAGGCAAGAATTGAACTAAGACAAAGATACAGAAAAATATCAAGCCTCATGGAAAGGCTTCAGCCAATGGAGAATGTATTCCTGTTGTTTGTTTATTGATTAGTTATCATCTCTTTGTATCTTTTGATCTGTTTCGAACTTCAGTCTAGTCAGCAGATCTTATGGTGGTTTTGTGTGGCTCACAGAAGAGCCTCATCAATGCTGTGTGATGCAGTCAGGATGCTTGAGGTGTGTTCTTCTTTTAGAATTTACTGTCAAGTCTTATGACAGTGAAGAAGGCATCAGGTCATCCTCCATCACCCTCAAGAGAAAGCTGCCCAGAATTCACTCACCTGTTTCCTCTTTATCCTCTTTTTCATTGGAGTTAACAGGTGGAGTTGACCCTTCCTGCAGCTCAAAGGCTTTGTTGTCGTTTTCAGATGCTTGGCCAGCACCACTGGACTCCAGCTCTGACTTGTGCAGCTGTTCCAGCACTGCCTGTGCTATGGGGACCATCATGGCAGTGGTGGCCGTGTTGCTGATCCACATTGACAGGAAGGCAGTCACAGCCATGAAACCCATGAGAAGTCTGGAATGAGAAGGTTTGGAAAAGCTGGATCAGAACTCAGCACTGCAATGCTCTATTTTTGCTGCAAAGATTCGACCACAAGTGCTGGGTTTGGAACACGCTCAGCAATTCCCACCCAGCACTTCCTCTTACCCTGGTCTGCTTTGGGAGCGACATGGTGAGATTTTACATTCATTTTTCTTTTTTTTTTTCCAATTTCAACCAATTTTTTACATTCTTATGACCAGGAAAGTGGAACCTGGTAGCTTGGAGCAAACAATTTACCTAGTCAGGTCCTGCTTATTCTGCATGCTTCCAAGGAAGACATGCCATCTCAATAACACATGTTAATGCAGTATAATGTATTGTAAAGAGGAATTCCAAATTGAATTTTTATCCCAAGTGGCAATCAGTTTAAGCCATAAGGATGAGGATCTCTGTTTTTCTGTAATTTTATCCCATCTCTATTATTTAAGATTCTCTTCTTACTCATCTAAAATTCTAATCCCTCTTTCAGTATTACTCTGTGATTTGCCTCAAAATTATTCTTTAGATGAGATGTAGATTATAGATGAGATGGAAAGGGGTTTATCTTGTATGCATTTTTATTCTATTGCTTTGTAATTTCCTTCAGTGTTCCCTCTCGTTAGGAGCTAAGTCAGATTAAATAGGGTGCTGTAACCTGTGCATAGTTTAGAGTTCTAGTCTGGAAAACACTTGTTGTTTTGCAAACAAGCATCCTCATGTTTTCTCTTCTCTTGGCAATCAGTGTAGCAGGCAGAGAGTCCATGTTTGCTGTGTTTCATCTGTGGTCTTTCCTGAGTGTCTGAAGCTGTGTCTTACCACCATTGACTCTCTTGTTGTTATTTCTCCACCTAAAGCCATTTGGAATTCAAAAAGGGCATGCCAGGTCTGTAACACTTCACGGGATCCCCCTTTGCAAGGTTAGCTCAGGCCCTAACTCACTTGGACTGCAGGAAAGCATTTGTAGGCTGTGATTTGCAGATTCACATAAGAGATGGGGACTAATGCCACATAAGTTCTTTTATCCCATGGTGTTTACATGACTGTTACTCACAGGGCTGGTCTGACACCAGTAAGAAGCAAGACCCTCAGGGCCACACGCTTGTGTAGCTGCCAGTTCTCAATGGCAATGGCCATCAGCAGTCCCCCAATGAAAAGCATATTGGAGTCCTTTAAATATTCCTGACAGACCTGTAATGTGGAACAAGGGAGAGAAAACAGTCAGAAGAAGCCAAGAGAGAAGGCATTTTCTGAGGGAGGTTGTTCCAAAGCCATTAGCACAGAGTAACTGTGGGTTGCATCTGAACAGTGGATTTGATTTCAGATTAGCAGCTCCACCCAGAGCTCACTGTGGGCTCATGCAAGTTCTATTCCATGAAGAAGACAGCCAGTTCCCTGTGTAACAGCAGTGGAATAATAGTAATAGTAATAATAATAATAATAATAATGGGAAATAATCCCTGAATAAAAGAAGCTTATTAATGACTGATTAACACATAGGCCAATGTCTATGGAGTAGGATCTCTTACTGTTGTTGAATCCATGATATTCATTAGTGGGAACAGCAGGACGGGCAGGAGAGCTGTGACAGCCAATGGCAGGGCTTCTGTGCACCAGTAAAGTGCCATCACTATGATAACATAACCACATTCGGCCTCCTGGGGGGCAAGAGGGGAAGAGGAGACATGATCAGAACACATTGTATATGGCACTTGGGCTTCCAGAAGGCAACAGCCCATAATTACATTTATTGCCTGATAAAGGGATTAGAGAAAAGGTTATTTCCTGTCCTTGTCTTCCATATATCCTCCGACCTATGCAGACTTTAATCAAATGACAAACTGTTCAATAACCTTGTCAGAACTCTGAGGAAAAGATGAATCCTCCAGGGGGCGAAAAAATATTAACTTAGGAAAAGAAACAAATGGATGACTTTGAACCTTTCATGATAAGGGATTGGGAGTCACTGCACAGGATTCGTGATTGTGCTGATAGTGTTATATTCTGTATTTATGTCCTTGAGTTGCAGAAATAATTATGATCCAGTCAAGGCTTCTTCACCTTTTGCTTCATGTGTTCCAAGATATGACCAAACCCCAGCTAATCTCAATAGCCTGGATTCCTTGTACTGTAAATACTTCTAAAATTTTTCATTGGATTTTCAGCTCAGTAGAAGCTTTGAAAGGCTCATTTGACAGACTGGTCACAGGTCCTTTCAGCTTTCACTGACTTGTTTGTTTGACAAAAGTATGATCCCCTATTTCATATTACTCGCCTTCTGAGAAAACATTGATTTAGTTCTGCTTTGAACAACCCCTCCAAATTCTATATAAAAATGTTTAAAACAGTCAGATTCAGAATTACTTGTCACAACAGATTTTCATATGGTTGGGCTGGGGATGAAAGTTAGAAGAAGTTATATTGCAGGTTGTGGTGTCTTCCTCGTTTTGGAACTCGTGCAATAATGGGTGACAGCAAATCCAAAGGAAGCAAAACGTGGTTGTTTGGCCTCGGATAAAGAATGTCCACTAAAATATACTGGATAGTATGAATGAGATCGTAGGGATGCTTATTGAAGCTGGATTACAGAGGATTAAAACAAGGAGCTGGGATAACGGCTGGCAGGATTGAATTTGTGGTGCTTTAGAACAGGCTCAGGACTTCTGAATGTGTCATGGAGGGTATGGAGCTGGTGACTGGGATGAAGGGGGGAGCAGCAAGAACCTTAATTATCCATCCCATCAAGCACTGAAAGAAATTGTTCATTTTGATGATCCTTTCTATCCATTTTTGTTCTTAAAAGAGACCAATAGGTGCCTTTTGAGAGACCCTAGCAGGGCTTTGGGATGTATGTCATAGGCACAATGTTTTTGGCTTCCATCCTGCTGTGAACAGGCTCTTGGTAAAAGTGGGGAAAAAGGCTTTTCACAATGTCAGTTTTTCTGTAAGGACACTTGTCTGTCCTTAAGTGAAATTTTTAGCATTTTTTGCTCTCAATTATAATAGTTTGGTGTCCAGTGCTATGTCATTATAGGGCAGGTAAATAGCTCAACAGAATAGAAAAATGTGAAATTCCATCCTGTGAGCTGCCTGCTCACATCACTGCTGCACATGGAGGCAACAGCTTTTCCTGCTCAGCATTGCCACAGTGCACAATTCTAAGCCAAAAAAATCTTCTTACAGGTTGCAAAGGGAAAAGTCCAGGACATTTTAAATTTCTATGTTGTTGCTGACTACATAGAAACCAGAGAGAGTCATTTTCACAGAGGAACTGAGGCAAGACTGCCAAATCATTCCACAGGTAACACCATGGACTTAGTGTATGTAACAATGCCTCCAGCAAGTGAGCTTGAACTTGTGGCCTCAAGACAAAAAAAAATAATCTCTCTCTGGCTTCTTAGAACTCTTCTGATTCAGATCTCTTTTCTCTTCAGTACCTCTTTTGACTATGAAAAGTTGACTAGCAAAAAAAGGTACTTTTTCTGTTTTTCCTGCTAGTAAGCTTTTAAGTAACAATTTAAACTATTTTATTTGCATAGTGAGAGAGTAAGGTGCCACGCCTGAACAGTTACCACATTGCACCTCCAGCCAGTGCCACTCTATCATTCACGCTCACAATCCTCAGGTCAGAGCTCCAAAGTCTCCGATAACACTGAGAGCTGTGAGGAAGAAAGAGCTTTGGGACAGGCAGGGAAGAGTTAGTGAAGTGCAGAAGGAAGCTTGGAGAGGGAGACTCTAAACTGGGAGTCAGCAGGGATCAGGAGACAGGCACAGGCAGAGAGCAGAGGAAAGAGTTGTGACTGGACGTCCAAAGAGCAGTGACAGGAGAGGTAGATCGGGATGAGTTATTTTAAGCTTCTGGGGCTGTAATAAGAGACCTGAAGGCCAGAGATGAGATATTTCTGCATGAAGAGATTGAGAGTGTGAGAAATGCCAGAATGAAGAAGCAGCAGAAGGCTGGCAGGCTGCTGGCTCACAGAGCTCTGTTTAAATGGTCAGTGGTCAGTGTCCCAGATCAGGGATCAAAATGATCAATGCCCCACTACTACAGCTGCTTGTAGTTAACTTTTTCTGTAGTTAACTTAGGTACCCTAAGCAAGGTATCTTCAAAACTTCATTTTAAATTGAAAATCCTTGTTTGGGAAGATTCTTACAGAAATATGCTAAACCAAGAGTGAAATACATAGTATTTTTCCTTATATGTCAGAATGCCTTGTCCCTCTGACCAAGGAAAATGCCTCTTCTACATGGCAGTGACAACAAGGAAAAAGAAGATGTGGACTGGATACTGTTAGAAAATCAAAAGAGTGTTTAAATTGAACCTTAGATTGGAACTTAGGTTACACTTACGTGTGAATCTTCAGCATAGAAAGTCCTTTGCTAAATCAGTCAGATACAAAGCAAAAGTCATAAATCACATGTCACTGAGTGTTCTTTTAGAAGATGCAATTACAGATGTATCTGTTTATCCATCATTGCTTTTATACTGCCCCAATATCTGTAGGTGTCTGATCAGAAAACAAACAAAAGAGATCTTCAAGCAATAAATGAAGGTTCTCTGAGAAAGAATCTGTGTGGTCTGTTCACTCTGTCACTTACAAGGAGCAACTCTGAGATGCAGAGATTTGGCTTTTAAATTGAACTTAAAAAATCCTTACCTTGGTACGCACCACCAGAGGAAGAGGAAGAGCGAGAAGGGGTACTAAAATTATGATGAGGTATTTCTTGAAGGCCAGGAGCACCTCCAAGATGCCAGCCATGGTGCTGGAGCTAGCCCAGTGCTGAAGGCCTGGGATCTGCTGCTGGAGACTTTATAAACACTGGGGAATATTAACCATTGACCTCAGGAGATTGGGTGTTGATTTTGGAACTGTAATCGGAGAAAGAAGGAAGGGAACAAAGAAGGGAGGAGACAGCAAAAGAGTGTCAGACCAGGAACTTTCTTAAGAAATCTTCCTGAAAGGTGGACAGTTCAGGACAGTATTAACTCCTTGTAGACCAAGTAAATTTATTAAAAGCAAACTGAAAGTACCTAATTTTTAAAAAATATTAATGGTTTTGTCTTTAATAATATAATCTTTGAATAGGTACTGTCATTCCTCCTATAAAAAAAGGGAAACTGCTCCCTCCAAAATGGGTTGAAAATTGCTTTAAAAATATGTAGAGCACTGAAAACCACATCTGCATCTCTAATAATCAAATACAGGCATTAGAAACAACGATGCAAAATGTTATATAAACATCATTGTGTTCACTAAGAAATTCAATCTGGGTAGCATAATCCACTGGGCAGAGCTCCTGTCACCAGGTGCCACATCAAGTTCCTGGCACGCAGGGACTGACAGTCCTTACCCTGGATCTTAGTGGACTGGGAAAGACTTGGCCACAGGGCATCACTTTGCAGACACTGGGCTTTTTTGTTTCACGTTTCAGCTCTTGCAGGTTTATAGGCACAACTTTGGGAACCTGGAGGATGTACTGGGGGCAAAAAAAGTAAAGAAAAAAAAAGGCACTACAGGGAAATTACCAGCAAATCTTGTCCCGGTTGCAGGAAACCTCCAAAATACAAGCTGTGAATTACTAGAATCTGTAAATACACAGGAATGGAACCAAACTTTTTGATGTGCCTCGTTAATGTCACTTTGATGGCTTTATTTGGTAGATCATACAAGCGCATGCCTCATATAAAGATTGTAACATTTCCATTTTATTGGTATAAATTGTCTTGGCGCTGTTTATAGCTTACTCAAGCAGAGACACAAAAAGGGAAGCACAGACATTAGGTCATCTGATGTCGGCTCCACAAAAAGCTTCTGCTGTTTCTCTCTCCCTTTTCTGCCAGGGCTTGTTTTCTTTCAGCAATGTGCTTATGATGGAAAACCAGTGGGGTTTCAGTGGCCAGAGCTGCAAGCTCGACTTGGACATACTGCTCACAACAAACAGAGCTTTAGCATTTCACCCTCAGTACAAAAAGAATGAGAAAGAACTTTCAAATGAATTATATTCCCCCACATTTTTGCATCCATTTAATGTTTAATTAGTGTCTGAAAAGGTGTAGTGGCAAAATCAGCCAACAGGAAGGTATTTTTTTCTACGTTTTGCTCTAATGCCCTAAGGTTGCAATGAAAATCTAAAAGAACACATCGTTTTTGCATCTCTGTAACATGAAGGTCGGCCTCCAACTGCAGCCTCATCTGTGGAGTGTAAATAACAACCTGGAAGGGTCTCAGCTGATGAATTGTGCCTATTCTTCACAAGCAACACGTCCTCAGCGATCATTTCCTCTGTCATGTGAGTCAAAATACCTGCAAAGATGCTAGAAATGAGCTCTCTAAGTGTATTATGGTTTGTCTTGTTTGAGCTTTGCCTGTGGCCCATTAACAGTCCCTTGGAGTTGTCAAAGGAGCAATGCCAATTTACGTTAGTTTGGAACAGTTTATATAAACAGGTTAATCTAACACTCTGAATCGCGTGCTTTGAATTCTAACAGCAACTTGGTCTTTGCTCACTGATCTGCTCTTTGAGACAGACCTCATAGGAAACCAAACAGCACAGCCAAAGCCTCTTTTATTAACTGAGCTTATACATTATTTTGTCATTTATAAAAAGAAGTGTTTTCTAATGTGCTGTGAATTAATATAAGTGATCACATATTGCTAATGACAACATTTCACAGATCCGACTGCATTTAAAATGTTGACTTTTGCTTTGTTTGGAGAGAAGAAAAAACAGGGTTTACGTTTAAATTTCTACAGCCATCAGGCTGGGGAGCAGCCCAGGAGAAAAGGACCTGGGGGTGCTGGCTGACAGCTGAACTTGAGCCCGCGTGTGCCCAGGTGGCCAAGGGCAACCTGGCTTGTAGCAGCAATAGTGTGGCCAGCAAGACTAGGGCAGTGCTGGCCACTGCTGAGGCCAGACCTTGAGTCCTGGGTTCAGTTTTGGGCCCCTCACAACAAGAGAGGCATTGAGGCGCTGGAGCCTGTCCAGAGAAGGGAACGGAGCTGGGGAAGGGTCTGGAGCACAAGTCTGATGAGGAGCAGCTGAGGGAGCTGGGGGGGCTCAGCCTGGAGAAAAGGAGGCTCAGGGGGGACTTTATCAGGGTTAGAGGGGAAGATGAACAAGGGATGGCTGAGGTCACTCGTTTTGTTCAGCCTGGAGGAGATCAAGGGGAACCCTCATCGCGGTCTGCAGGTTCCTCATGAGGGGCAGAGGAGGGGCAGGGACTGTTCTCTCTCCTCTGGTGACCAGCGACAGGACTTGAGGGAGTGGCATGAAGCCATGCCATGGGGATTTAGATTGGATATGAGGGAAAATTCCTCCACGGAAAGGGTTGTCAAGCCCTGGCAGAGGCTGCCCAGGGCAGCAGCGGAGTTACCATCCCTAGAGGGATTTAAGAGTGTGGATATGGCACTAGGGGACATGGTTTAGCGGTAGCCTTGGCCATGATGGGTTAACGTCGGTCTCGATGATCTCAGAGGGCTTTTCCCACCTCAACAATTCTATGAAACAACACGCGGCGAGGGGGGGAAGGTGTGGGGGGGAGCTGAGCGCCGCTTCTTTATCACCGGACTCGCTGCAGCGGCAACTCCGAGGGATCCCGGGGACTCGCTGAATTCCTCCCGGTTCCCGCGGGCGGCGGGGCGGAGCGGAGCGGGCCCGGCCCGGGCGGAGCGGAGCCTGTGCCGGCCCGGCCGGCCCGCGCCGCTCCGCCCCGCCATGGCCGCCATAGGCCGAGCCGCCGCCGCCGCCGCCCGGCGACCCCCCCGGCGCCCCCCGCCCGCCGCCGCTTTCGCCCGGGGCTGCTGCCCGCGGCCCCGAGCCGGTGCTGTTCCTGGCCCACCGTGGTCCGTGGGTGCTGCAGGGGCCCGCTCACCACCCAGTTACCTGTGGACGCGCTGGGCGTCCGAGCGCGGGCTACCACGGCCCCACAAAGCAGCGGCTCCGCCGCTGCGAACAGCAGCGCTGCCGCCGACCCGCTGCCGGCAGCGTGAGGGGGCACCGGGGGAGAGGGGACAAGGGAATCCTCAGGGAGCCCTGGGGGACCAGGGAGGAACAGGGAAGGGGAGCTCTAGGGGATAAATGGGGAGTCGGCGGGAGAGGGGACACCCAGGGGGAGCGGGGTGCCCGGGGGAAGCCCCGGGGAAGCTCCGGGGAAAAGGGGAGTCCGGGCGAGTGGATAAACCAGGAGCCCAAAAGGAGTAGGAGGTCCGAGGGGAGCCCTGGGGGTGCAGAGAGCCCATGGGAGTGGGGAGGAGCAGGGGAAGAGGGGAGCTCAGGAGGAGTGGGGTGTCCGGGGAGACAGTGGAGCCCCAAGGGGATCAGAGAGCCCGGAGGGGAAGGGCAGCTTGGGGAGAGCGGGGGAGTGGAGAGCCCAGGGTGGCACTGGGTGCTGTTGAGAGTCCTGAGCCGCCTGTTTCTCTTGCAGGAGGTGGAAGCCCTGGTCTCCCACTGGAACCTCTACATCAACTTGGGGGGCTTCTTTGTCTGTCTCTTCTCCGTGACTCTCTTTGGACCATGGAGCGACAGCGTGGGCCGCCGTCCGGCGCTCATCCTGTCGACAGCAGGCATAGCCCTGCAAACGTCCATCTACCTGCTGGTCATATACCTGGAGCTGCACGTCGCCTACTTGCTCCTGGGACGCCTTCTGAGTGGCCTGTCAGGAGACTACAACCTGGTCCTGGCCAGCTGCTTTGCCTACGTGGCCGAGACCAGCGACAGGCGTGCGCGGACGTTCCGGGTGGCCATCCTCGAGGCGTGCCTGGGCATCGCGGGCATGCTGGCCAGCATCGGTGGTGGCCAGTGGCGCAAGGCCCAGGGCTACATCAACCCCTTCTGGCTGGCCTTTGCTGCCTCTCTTGCTGCCACTCTCTATGCTGCTTTCTTCCTTCGGGAGTCAGTGAAGCAGAGGAGACCGGCCAGGCTGTTCACGCTCAGCCATTACAAGGCTGTGTACAGGCTGTACATGGCCCCAGAGCACCCGAGCTCCAGGTGGAAGCTCGCTCTTTACTCTCTGGCTTTTTTCCTTCTTGTCACAGTGCATTTTGGAGCCAAGGACCTCTTTGTTTTGTATGAGCTTGGCTTTCCTCTCTGCTGGGCTTCTGACCTCATCGGGTACGGCTCCGCTGCCAACTACCTGGCTTACCTGAGCAGCCTGGGAGGGCTGCGGCTGCTGCAGCTCTGCCTTGAAGACAGCTGGGTGGCAGAGATGGCATTGATCTCAAACATTGCCGGACTGGTTGTGATTTCTCTCGCTACCACGACAGCACTGATGTTTACAGGTGATGCTAAATTCTTAAATCCTTATATTTCCGGCTTAGCGCAGAGATGCCAGTAGATGCAGGAGGGCACTGTGCTGCTGAGAGGTCAAGCACACGGAGGAAGTTCTGCCTCCATTTCACCCTGCGCACCAACAAAGCTGTGTCTTGCTGATGGCAATGTTGGCCAAACACTAAAGTTGAATGTGCATCCATATTTCCTAGAATATTAGGTTTCCCAGAGCTGTATTACAGTGCATACACAGGCTAAAGTGGATTATAGGATCTAGGAGGATGAATTGAGTCTAAATACAGCAGGGAGAAACTGCCTGCAGCTACAGATTTCTGGGACTGACTTTGGAGACTTTATTTTTCAGCTGAGCTTTCCCTAATGTGCTGTATCTTGCTCACAGGTTATGGGATTCTGTTCCTTTCCATGGCAGCCACTCCAGTCATCAGATCCAAGCTCTCCAAGCTGGTCAGCGAGACGGAACAGGGTAAGGAGTTACCTGGTGTGCTTAAGCCAGGTCCTGAAACACTGTCTTCTTGGAACACTGAAACCAAAATGTTTGAGGAAGTTAGGACTTCTGTGGTTCCTCTGGACTCCTGTGACCTTGCACTCACCTTCAGACCCAGGATAGCATTTTATTTTTTTTCAGAGTAATTGTCATTCATTGATTTACACTTGCTGCATTTTCAAGATGAGGACAAGGAAAAGCAAGATGAAAAGAATTTGCAGGAATGGTTCATTAATCTGTTCATCTCCAAAAGGTTTACAAGGAGCAAGAGTTAAAATGGGTTATGTAACAAGGAGAAAAGAGCGATTCTCCTGACCATAACTTTTCTCTGTAGATCAGTAACAGGGGGAAGACCCAGATGAGGTTGGAGGGTTATATCATTGACTGTGGTAAAAGATCATGGATAACCTGTAGGAGGAGCATATTTGCCTTTTGTCCAGTAATATATTTGGAGATTGTGCACTTGCTGTGAAACATGGCATAGGAATGTGTCTGAGGCAGAGGGAGGAGGGAGTTGAGGTAGGAACAATCAATAGGGGATTTTGCAGAATTCACGTTTCTTATTTTAGAATGAAGATGGTGCGTACTCCACACCAGATTATGATGCTAAATCTATAAATTGCTGTCTTCTGCTGTACTTAATATTTAACAAGTGATAAGATATGCTGTTCAGTAAACAGATCTATATAGCCCTAGTCTGAAGCATTTACAATCCAGCTGATAGATAATATCCCTGGTCAGCCCAGGCGATACCAATTCCACAGGTCGGTGAGATGGTCCTGGCTACAGAGAAGCAAGTGGGACAGGTTTAACCTGCCAGGCCAACTCTGTGCCCCAGCTTACCACACTTGATACTCACACACCAGTTTTCTGATGGGAAGTGCAAACCCTTAGGAAGATTCACAGAATCCCACTGAAGGTGACGTGTTAAAGCCATTTGCAGGCATTAACCACCTGTCTGTCTCACCATTAATCTCTTTTCTCTTTTCCAGGTGCTCTCTTTGCTTCTGTTGCCTGCGTGCAAGGGCTGTGTTCCCTCGTGGCTACAGGAGTGTTCAACTCTCTCTACCCTGTGACCTTGCACTTCATGAGAGGATTCCCATTTCTCTTTGGGGCTATAATCCTTCTTATTCCGGCAGCTATCATTGGGTAATTTAGTTCAAATTTCTAAACTTTGCCACAGGACCTGTGAAATGTCATGTGGAAAATATTATTTACTCTTCTTAGGAGAGACAGTTTTTAAGGCATATTTTCAATTGAGCTTATGAGAGGGTGTTTGGTACCCCAGTAAACAGAGATGCAGGTCATTTCTTCTGGAATCTGAATCCTAGGGATAAACCTGCAGCCTGAGTAATGTAGCTGCAAATATTCAGAATGCTTCAAAGTTTCACTCCACCCTCAATGGAATCCGAAACCTTTCCAAAACGAATTTGAAAGTCCTCCTTTATGGGAGAGATGGAGCTCTCAGCAGTCTCTCTCCCTGTCATTTTTCTAATAATTAAAGCAAAAGTTGTATTGTGATAGAAAACATCCCGTGGTAGGTTCTGGGAGAAGGAATGTGTTGGGATTTGCAGTAGAAGTGCAACAGCTCTTGGCAGGGTCATTTCGTTCTGTTCCTTTGAAACTTTAAAACTCACTTAATTCAGTGACATCCCAGTGTGCCTTCAAAGGTTCTAACTGTTTGTTCTTTCCTAGGTGGATTCAAATCTGGGACTCAAAACATGACTACAATCACTTCCAAGATCCCCCATCCCCTGCAAAAGACTGAGCAGCAACTTAGCAACAAGGAATTGGCCAGCACAGCAGTGTCCACCTGAAGACTGCTCTTTACTCTTCCCTCAATGGACAGATTAGTGTGGGAGGGACACCCTCCTTGCCCCTACTAACTTTTAAATGCCAGGTAGTTGGAAATCATGGCTCTGACTACAGGAGGAACCTGATTTGCAGATGTGAATGCCTCCTCGACATTTGTTGGCTCATCTGTGAGAGAAAACCCGAGAGACCCAAAAGCCAACCAAGCTGTTGTGGGCCATTTGCAAGGCTGGTTAGTGGTTTGGGGTTTGGAGAAGGCACCGTGACATGCTTTTAAGGGAGAGAGAGGACTGAGTTCTGGTTTAATTGCCAAACACATTCCCCTCTGAGTACTGCAGTGTGTAGCAGGTGAGCTTTTGGTGTGGGTGAGGCATGGACTGAAGCCTGCAGAGCCAGACTGAAGCAGAGGTACCCAATAGTGTACTGCTGAGGAGGAAGATCCATGATCTGGATCAGCATGTTGCCTGTAAAAATCCTACAAGTGTCACATGCCAGACCAAGCTCCCACAGAAATCCTTGTGGAGAGTGCTAGTTTAGCACAAGAGTGCTATTGCTGTCCTTATTGACTGAACCAGCTTCACTTTTGCAAGTTAAAGGTGTCCTAGGAAGAGGATCTAACTCGTGAAGCGTTTGTAGGAGTGCCAGTTGCATGTCCTGCCTGTTTGCAGCTCAGCCCAGGATCTCAAAGGTGCTTTTAAAAAGTAACAGATCGTCTGAGAATACTACAGCGCAAACAGAATATATCCCGAGTTGGAAGGAGCCCACAAGGATCATCAAAGCAACTCCTACTGGTGCCTTAATTGACAGTTGCCAAAATTGATGGATTTGAGGCTAAAATTGCCAAACTGGGCCCTCCTAAGTGAAGCCCCTTATGCTGTAGGTGTGCCCTAGTGTCTGCTGTGCTTATGGCAGAGTCCTTCCTCACCAATACACTGTGCTGTAGTGATGAGCTGGTGTGGGACTCGTGTCTTTAAGGTTAATTTTTTGTTGTTGTATAGGGCACAACTTTATGTTGGTGACCTCAGTTCTGCTGCCTCTCTCAGGACCTGTTGATGCCAGGAAGCAAATCTCATGTTCATGGTGCTTACAATTGTTCCTTTCAAAGCATTGCCTGTATTGCCACAATCCTGTTTTCTTCCAAGTGCCATAAACCAGCAGTTCTGTGTACACTGCACTGCGCACACTGTTCAAGTACCGGCAATAACGTCATTACTATTCCTTTCAAAATGAATAAAACCTCCATTCTCTTTTATGGCTCATAAAATGACAGATTTCTTGTGCAGCTGTTGATATCGTTTGTCCTTGCCCTGTCGGGGACTTCTCTCCATTATTTTTATGCTGTGTCCTTTATTGAAGTAAAGAGGAAGCAGTGGGAATTTATCTGCCTTGTGGAGAATGAGTGTGTGAGAGTCACAAGTGAGGAAAAATGCGGGTTTGGGACTTGCAAGGAGCCAAAACTTGCTTTTCCTGACCACCTGAGTAAAGGTTACAGGAGTGCTTTGTCTGAAACCTGTCCTTAAGTATGAAGTAAATATGAAATGCTTATACACAGCTTTGTTCCCATCCATTAGGAGTTTGTGACAAAAGCAGGGGAATGGGGGAGAGGAAAAACAAGATAATTGGGGAGTAGAGAAGCAGGAGGTGGAGAAGCAGAGAGGCTTAAAGAACTTGGTGTTACGCCACTTGCTCTGTGTAGGAATGCCAGAGGACATAAGAGTTACGGGTCTGATTGCTGGGCTAAGCCCAGAATGAACCTGCCTGAGGAACAGAGCATGCTGTGAGTGCTGTGGTAGATGTTTGTGGCTGAACTGATTGTGAAGTAAAGTTCTTCTCTACCACGGGCTCCATGGACGCCAATCCAAGCCGCTGCTCAGTGTGCAGTGAGGTGAAACTTGTGTACTGGCTCTGCCCCCCTGCTTGTGCCAGTGTGCTTGCAGGGGAGAAATTCAATAGGAACTATTATGCCTTATTAAAAAAATTAAAACAAAGTTTTTCTAGGCTGTCCTCCAAGAACTACAACAGAGAAGCCATGCGTGGTGACTGTGGGCAGCAGGCGGAGTCCCTGGGGCTGCAGGGAGCTACATCAGTCCATGCAAAGGTGAGTGTGAAATGGGGGTCCTACAGGAAATGGTGCCTGGGGAATGTCAATTCTGCTGCATGATGGCAAGGGAGAGCAGGTGTGAGAAGGCTGCAGGGAGAGAAGCCCATGATACAGAGATGAGGTGGGGATTTAAGAGTGTAAACCAGATTTATTAATAATTCCTGATGGAACAATTCCAGACACTTTTGACATCACATAGCAAAGGAATGAAGGGAGGATGAGGACAGAATTCCTTTCCTTGAGAGTGCTCCAGCTGGAAGGGGCTGGGTACGAGATATTTTGCCAGGAGCAGGGTGAGTTCATTAAGGTGAAGATGATGGAGAAACAGGAGGAGTCACAGTCTGGGCAGCTGGAGCATGAGGTGGGATCCTGTTCCAGGTGAGTCACCTGAGCTGTAGAGAACAAGTAAATCTCCACATTGAATAGTGAGTGAGGAGGTTAATTGCTACAGAGCTCCTGGGAAACAAGATGCAATAATCTTAGTGGGTATTATTGTAGGGAGAAAAATCCTTAGAACTGTTTGTGTGGAACTCCTTCAGTGGCCATGGAGGCCTTGACATTCAATCAGTTATTCAAGACTTTTCCCTGAAGCAGCTCACAGGTGGCTTTTTTGCTTTAGCATATTCACCTTTGGGCTCATCTGCTGGCTTCTTCATATTTAATCTGGAGATAAGATAGATTATTTCTAGGGGATTCTGGGCAGATATGGCTATTAACCTTTCACAGGAGAGCAAAGATGCCATTAACTGTGAGCTGATAAGAGCTATCCATAAAGCTGTGATTAAGCACCATAATTAACTTCTTTTTTTTTCCCCCTGAAATGTTCATGAGTCTAAGCCAGAAGAAAAAGTGTTTTGTGTTTCTGCCAGTTAAGGCAAGCAGCAAGGCTTCAGGGAGAGCCAGGAGGAGGACAAGGTGGCTGAGGCTCCTCTTTGTATCCTGCAAGAGTTATCTTGAGCAGGGATGGGAAGAGGAGCTTGCTGCTTCTGCAGGGTGATGCAGCAGCCTGGTCTTCAGAGCATCAGGGCAGCCTGGTGTTTTTCCATGCTCTTCCTCCTGCCCGTGCTCTGAACAAGGATGTCTTTTTGCGTTACTCACTTTGCATCAAAAAATACAAACTTAGGTAGGAGATGCAATTTCTGCTCCTAATTGCACAATGGCTGCTCGCCCTCCAAGCAGGTGGGAGAAGCAGGACAAGGCTGGGAGCATGGAATTCAGGGATTTGTGTCAGGATGCCCGTGGTTCCTCACCAGCAGTGTAAGCAGCAGGCAGTGCCAGTCCTGGTCCCAGCAGCTCACTCCTAGCATCCTTTGCCAGCCCTTTGCGTCAGCTTTACTCTTCCTTGATATTTTAAGGTGAGTAGCTGCAAAAAGCCCCAGTGGGTGTTGAGAAGAGCTCGGTAGAAAGAAACAAATGCTACTTGGTATTGCATCCATCAGAGAGTAGGGACAACCCTGAGGAGCTCAGCCAGGGCTGTTGGGGTGTGTGATGGTCAGCAGGGAGATACACCAGCTCCTGCTGAAAGAGCAGACCATGGGAGATCTGCTGTGAAGGAGTGACAGAATAAAATACAGCCAGTGGATAATAACCCCATGAGTACAGCACAGCAATTAGCATCTTGCCTATCTGCATGGAGATATGTTTTCCAGAGTCACCATCCAGCCTCCCACACCCTAGAAGTACAGAGCAGGGTGATAGAGTGGTGAAGCTGAGACATCAGATGAAGGGAAGGAGGGTGTTTTAAAAGCACTTTTGGAGAGATCCTGCAGAAACTTCACATGGTCTAACCCCAAACTTCCATTGCCAGAGTTAAGAGCACACAGTGGTTTTGCAGCACTGGGAGGTGGAAGGCTCTCGAGGAGGGACTGAGCTCTTGTGATAAAGGGACATTACTGGAAAAGAGAAAGCAGTTCAGAAGGCCTCTGTGTGTTATCTTTCCCAAACACAGGGATTTCGTTAGGGCTTAGCTTTTGTTTGCCCTTTCCTGCTCTCAGTTGCTGACCACAAGGATATTGCCATGGCACAAGCAGAGCCACACGGTGCTTATAGACCATTTCCTGTCAGTTGTTCTTCTCTCCCATTTGTCCTTTCACAATGGACCCTCACCAGTTCCCCAGTTCTCAGCCCTTAGAAGATCCTGCCTCTTTGCACATGTTTCTGGGGGAAGCTGCAGCCACTTGTGGGGGGCTGGATGGTGCCAGTCTCCCTCACACCCCCTGCACGTCCTGCTGTCCCACAGGAGGATGTGGAAGACAACTTGTCCATCCCGGAGTCCACCCAGTCTTGGCTCACCAGGCGCCGTGTGAGTGAGTACCGACCTTTTAGGTCCAAGGGCTTGTATTTGGAGGGTGAAGAGGGAGTAATGAGCCACAGGCCTTCTCTCAAGCCAGGGTACTAAGGTGGGAAAAAAGTCAAGAGAGACCCACACAAAAAGGGGTCACCTGGGAAGTCTCTGGGGGGGATGAGGCAGCTGTGCTGGTTCTAGCTCTGCCCCACGGAGAGCAAGCAGTCCAGCCCATTCTCTGACCCAGCCGAGGAGTCCCGGGAGGAGCGGCCCTGGAGAAAGCGAATGATTTTGTCGATCGTGGCCTCCTGGTACTCATGGGACCACCTGTGTTTGAGGAGAAAATGTGGTTTAATTTTTCTGTTGCCTGAGATGCCACAAGATAGCTCTGTTCGTTTGGGCCGGGAGCCCGTGGAAAATGGAGCAACACTGGATGCTGCAGGATGCCCTGCCAGGCTGGGACACATGAAGGGGAAGCAGGAGGGGAGAGGAATTCAAGTGAACTGCAAAACCTGCCATAATCACTCCTGCCTGCAGGGCTGGGGGCACAGGGAAGGGTGTCCTCCCAGCAGTGCTGGCATGGGGAGCTCTGTCACCCAGAGGAGCCCCAAGCACAACACCAGCAACAGGGATGTGGTGGGAACCTTTGCTCCCTGCATGCTCTGGAGTTCCTGAAGTGACTCACTGCTCCTTTGACCTGTTCTGTCTCCCTCATCTGTTTCTCCCAATGTGCTCTTTGCTACTGCTTATGCAAGATGTTCTCTGCAGGTGTCAAGGAACCCCAAGGCACAGATGGCTTTTACTTACTTGATACCATTAAATTTCAGGACAGCCCTCATGTCCTTGGGAAGTGTTTCTGGGTCTGGCCACTCAAAATGATCTGTAACAGGTACAATGTTCTTTCCAGAGTTCAAGGCTGTCACAATCTCCTGCAGGAACATACAGGTGCTCAGGCTGTGGCCTGTGTCAGCCCATCACCAGCCCCTTCCTGTTCCAGTGTCCACCCAGCTCCCACCTGATGGCATTTCCTACCTTGTGTACCCAATCCTTACACTCAGGGTCTTCCATGCATTTATCCAGTGCATTTGGTGAGAGGACCAGCACAAAATTGCGGGCGCTCATGACGCTCTGGATCAGCTTGTCCTCAAATTTCCCTGCCTCCAGCTTCTCCACGTCAATGAACACGCTGAAACCGTGCAGCTGCAGGTGGACCTTCAGCAGGCTGGTGGCAAGAGAGGACAGCACCATGAGGAGAGGTTTCACGTGCTCTCCCACTCCATTGATAAGATATGGTGAGACAGAGGAGCAGCAAAGAGGCTCCCACAGGAAATGGCACGTTCTTGAGATGCCAGCTCCAGCCCAGCCTGCTTACAGCTGTCTGGGCACATGCAGAGAACACAGGGAGCTGACCATTAGCTCCCTGCTGTGATCCTCGAAGAGCACAGCTAGAGGAAAGGGTAAGTCAGTGTCAAAGAGTGGCAAGGTGGCAGCGACAGGACTGGGAATTAGCCTGTTAACCGTGCGGGTTATGGCACGTGCTGTCCCTATTTGCTCTGTGGCTTTTGGCAGCATCTCCCTCCTCCCCATTCCACATTTTTCCCACAACTGATAACCTGCCTTTGCTCTGGAATTCAGCCCAGCACTGAAATCTTGCCTGCAGGACTCACCTGGCCAGCTGCGACCCGGTGCTCCTCCGGTAGCTGATGAACACATCGGTCCCGTTGGACGTGGTTTGCAGCGTTATAGGGGAGTGAAGCGTTTCTAGGCAGAGCAAACAGCAACCAAACGTCAATGGAACCCCAGCAGCTCACCCCAAACACCCCTCAGTGCTCATCCACCCCCTCCCGCCTGCCCCGCAGCGGCGGTGCCCGCACCCCTGGCCGCGGTGAGGATGCGGACGCGGTGGAAGCCCGTGTCGATGTGACAGTCCTCCTGCAGCTGCTGCTCCGTCACCCGGTGCAGGAAGTTGCGGTTGATGCCGCAGGTGAGCAGGTTGTAGGTGTACTGCCGGAATTTGGGGTCGATGCCGCCCAGCCAGTCGGCCAGGTTGCTGCGGTCGCAGGTGGAATAGTTTGCGAAGGTCTTGAGCTCTGTCAGCTCCCGGAAAAACCTGGCGGAGAAACAAATGATGGTGTGGAGCGGGAAGGGGAGAGCTGAGAGACCGGGCAGAACCTGGAGACGTGTGGTACCACATCTTTTATCTGCCCAGGAGAGAGTGCAGCCCCATGCTGTGGTGAAGTATGAGTGAGAGGAGTAGAAAAGAGAAGAACAGCTGCATGGGAGTGCTGGTCCTCAGGTGTGGGAGTGTGAGAAGCTCAGCTAAGGGAGGAGAAGCTTGGTTAAGTTCCTGTCTTTCTGAGTAACTTGCAGGAACCCACATGTCCAGTGCCATAGGTGGTCTTTCTCCATCCAACACCTCTGCTATGCACTGGCTCCATTGCAGAAATCCCTCTGGGACTGCAAAGTGCAGTGGAAAAGTCCTGGCAGTCCAGGTTTTGCATTTGGAGGATCTCTGTTCTTGTCTTTGCAAGAAGGGAAATGCACAGACCTTGTCCCCAGCTCTGCCACTGTGGTGATGGCCATGAGAGAGTCCAACATGCCCTGGTGGTAGTCTTACCTTTTCCGAGTGATGCTGGAGTCCATCCCCAAATCCTCTTGCAGCTCCTTCTCTGTCAGCCTCAGCAGAATGTCCCCATCCACCTGGTGATCCTGCCAAGAGAAATCCAGGTTGGAAAGGTCTCAGGAAAAGGTTACACCTCTGCCGCAAGATGGGGCAGAAGGGCCCATCCGCGTGTCCCTCCCCTGGCACAGAGCCCTACCAGAAATCTCTGGCAGTATTTGTTGAATCCGATCTGCTGCAGCCACGTCTGCACCTCGCAGGACTTCCAGTTGGGAACCGTGGGCAGGATGCGCCGAGGAACCTCCTCCCCTATCATGCGCAGCACCTTTTTGGCCAGGGAGGAGGTGGTGCTGCTGGTGGAGTAGCACACTATCCTCTTCAGGCTCTGCGTAGCCCCGATCTCGCTGAAAATCTGGGGACACAAAAGGTGGAGACTTTGCTTTCCCTTCTCCTCCCCACAAGCTGTGTCTGGCCAGGTGTGCAGGACCAGGGTGCTTGGTGAGCTCACAGGGGAGCAAAAGACACCAAGATGCGGTTGTGGCCACCCTTCCCTTTGGCGTCGCCTTCCTTCAGGCCAACCTACCCTTTACCTGTGTTTTCTTCTGCCTGGTTTTGATGGCGGCCTCAGTGCAGAGGTAGAAGGCAGCGATGCACTGGGCTTCCAGCCGTGAGCTGTCCAGCAGGGGCACGAGCCGCTGCAGGTCCTCCGCCGTCCGCCCCTGGACGTTGTCACTGCTGCCCAGCATCTCGCGGGCGAACTGCTCTGGGTCCAGCGAGGCGATGAACGGCTCCACCAGAGCCAGAGTCCCCGAGCGCTCCACCTCCTTCTCAATTTCCTTGTTGGTGGCCAGCACCGTGATGGCCAGGCACGCGTGCAGCCGGATGAGTTCGTCGTCCTTTGAGAACACCAGAGGGAAAAGCCATTCTGCTGCCCTCTTCTCGATCATCAGGCGCTGGTTGGCCTGCCCTCCGTACATGGCACAGTTGGCCAAGGCCATGGCGCAGTGCCGCAGCACGATGGGGTCCGTCCAGCGGCACCAGTACAGGATGGCATCCAGGCCTCCGTCAGAGATGAGCTGGAAACAGGTCTCCTCAGTGTGTTTGAACATGTGCTCCAGGATCCCAGAGACGCTCTGCACCAGCTGGGGAACATCTCGCTCCTTGGCTAAGTTCAGAATCACGCCCAGGCCGATCCGAGCAATCCGATCCCTGTGGGAAGGAGAGACACAGGAAGGTGAAGGGGAGATGGATGTGCAAGGAGTGAGAACAGTGACTTGCATATGAACTCCCCCATGCTTCAGTGGCATTTGTCCCAGGACAGACAAGTGTTTCCCTGTGGGACACAGGTGCCAGATACGCAACGCGGTGAGATGCAACAGCCTGTGTTGGAAGAACTGGTGTTGGAAGAACCTATCTGGGTCTGATGGAAGAGCTTGTGACGGGACAGGACATGGAGTGCACAGCCCAGGGCCACCTCACTGGATGCTCACAAGCTTGAGGTAGGACATACATAGCAATTAACAGGCAGGGTAGGCTAATGCCAGGCTGGAAATGGATTTGCTGTGTCAGCATTGCTGGAGGTGTGTGAACTGCTTTTTGTTGGGGGGTGAAACTTCTTTGTCCCTAAGCAGTGCTGTCAGGACAGGGCTTTCACACCTGGCTGAACAGCCACACAGCCCTGTCCACAGGGACGAGTGAGTGTCAGAGATGCCTGTCCTGGGATGGCAGCTGGAGGAAAGCTGTTTGTTTCCCCTGTCCTGTGCTCTCCTAGAAGAGGACAGCAAGAGTCTAGGGCAGGTGGCCAAGGGCCACCAGCTGCTGCTTGGCCATGGCTGGCCTTGGGAGCCCTGTGCTGCTAGGATGGTCTTAAAATGACACCTGAATGGGGCTGTGCCCTGAAAACACAGTGAGGAAGGGGTAAATCAGGATCATAGAAAGGTTTGGGTTGAACAGGACTTTAAAGCTTATCTCATTCTAACCCCCATTCGTAGGCAGAGACACCTTCCACTAGACCAGGTTGCTCCAAGCCACATCCAACCTGGTCTTGAACACTTCCAGGGATGGGGCAGCCACAGCTTCTCTGGGCAGCCTGTGGCAGTGCCTCACCACCCTCTGAGATGGGTTCTTGGCTGCCCTCCCATGAGCTTTCCTAAGGTGAGTAGCAGCTCCATCTCTTCCCTTAGCACCTGTTTGGTGCTGTGTTGGAGCTGCCTGGTTTGTGAGGCAGTGCTGGCACAGATGCCCCGTGCTGTGCTGCTCATGAGGGCAGTGCCACGCTTGGTCCCCAGCGGTGGTGGGGTGATGGCACACCAGCCTCTGTGCTGGCAGGCGGGAAGAGCATTTCTGGGAAACCTGTGACCCACAGGGCTCACGCTGACCTTGGGGTGGGTTTGACAGGAAATGCTGTGGAGAGCTCTGGGAAAAAAAAAAAGCCCTCAGCCTGGGTCTGGCTCCAAGCCCAGACTCGGACATGGAGCTGGATGACAAACACAGCCCCACCAGGTCCCTGACTCCCAGCAGCTGTAGATGGAGCCAGGGCTGGTCCAGCTCCCAGCTAAACACCACTGCTGCTGTGCACAGAGTGGAAGAGGTCTGTAAGCCAGAGGCTTGGATCCAAGGGGGGACCCCACACCTCCCTGCCATCGATCGGAGGTTGATAGTGGGTCAGGCTGCAGGGAGGAAGGGGCTTGGGGCCCATGGCTTCTCCAAGAGCCTGACCCATGAGCTGCTCCTGGAGCAGAGATGGCGACTCCAGCAAATGCTTTCTCTTGCCAAGAAGCTGAGTGCTGAATGTAGACCGTGCCAGTGATGCCTTCTGGGATTAAATTCCACCCTAATGGGCTTTTCTAATTTAGTTGTCGCTTATTTTTGCCTGCCAGTGCATGCAGTGAGGCCCAGGCTGGGAGTCCACAACCTTACAGCAAGAGACATCACCCAGGAAGCTGGAGCAACACTTTGACCAGGCTCCTTCCATGTGCTTTCCAGACCCCTGGCTGGGGATGGCTGGGCTGGGGTGCTCCGAGGGAGAGCGGAACTGGCAGAGTGCATTTGGGGTGTTGGAAGGGTGGGTTGTGTGTGGGTGCTGCATCAGCAGTGCTGTGCACTTGGATGTGTCAGGATGCACCTTTGTGCACACATTTGTACACACACATGCACTCACACACACACATGGAGGCACACGATCCCACCCTACCTGTGCCCATGCTCTGGCAGAGCCAGCCCAGTGCCTCTCACCTGTCTTGGGCAGCAGCACATGTGTCTGGGGCTCTGAGGCCCACCCACCAGCCAGCCCCCTCCTTATGGCTCCGTTCCAGCCCTGGTCAGCAGCAGGAAGTCTCTGAGAAGTGGCTTTGTCCTCCTCCTCCCGCTGCGGTTATGGCTAAGGGGGAGTTGTGTCTTGTCCTTGGGGTCAGATGCTCTGAGCCAGCCAGACTGACTCAGCTCGATCACAAAGGGTGGCCCCAGGCTGAGGGGGGCACCCCGATCCTCACCAGCTGGGGCCAGTCCTCCCTCCAGCTGTGGGGGAAGGGAGCAGCTCATACCATTGCCTGGACATGAGTCAGGGACCCTCAGTGCAAGTGGTGGGTGTGGGGGGACATGGTGGAGATCTGAGGGGGTTGGTGCACCGGGAGCACCCAGAGCAGGGAAATTTATGGGGTGTGGGTGAGGTGGGTGTAGGCAGGCCAAGGCCAGATTGGATGGGGCTTGGAGCAACCTGGTCTAGTGGAAGGTGTCTCTGTCTATGGTGTGGGGTTGGAACTGGATAGTCTTTAAGGTCCCTTCCAACCCAAACCATTCTGTGACCCTGTGAAAGAGCTGACGCTGCCTGGGGTGGTGGGGAGGGCTGTGTCTGGCAGGGCAGGGGGCTCTTTGCAGACTCACCTGTTTTCTGCCACCAGGATCTGCTCCAGGAGTTTTCCTGCCTGGCACTTGGTCTCCAGCTCGGCGGTGTACAGCAGGTTGAGCAGCAGGTCCAGGCCCCCCTCCAGGCGGATCACATCGCACAGCACCTTGGCCACGTCCCTCCCCAGGGCGGGCATCCCCCAGGCCTCCTCCACCAGGCGGAACACCTCGCTGATGGCCGCCCGCAGCCCCTCGGGGGTGGTCGCCTGCGTGGCTTGGGCGATGGCCCGGCGCAAGGCGGGCAGGACCCGCTCCAGCGCCTCCCGCACCTCGGTGCCCACCCCTGGGGAGACCCCCCGGTGCTCCCGGGCGCTGCCCCCGCCGCCCAGCGCCCGCCCGGCTCACACACTCGGGCACCGTCAGCCGCTCCGCCTCGCCATGGCCAGGGACCGGCCAGGGTGTGCAGGGGAGAGGAGCAGGGCGAGCATCCGTGGCTGCTACCGCAGCATCCCCTGCCACCCGCCCCGCAGCGCCCGCAGGGACCCCCCGCTCCTGCGGGGACGCGGGTGGCCGCAGGAGGGGGGCACGGGAGGGGGGCCGCGTCCCGCTCCCCCCTCTGCCCTGTCGGGATGCGGAGCTGGAAGCGGAGCGGGATCCGCCTTCCCCGAGCCGGGCTCAGCATCCCGGTCCCCGGGGCTGATGTCACCGGGCGCAGGCGCCGCCTCTCCGAGGAGGGGCTCGGTCCGGCGGCTGCATCCCCCTCCCGCTGCAGATGCTCCGGCATCCCCCCAGACCCTCCTGCCACCAGCCCTGGAGGGATTTAACAGAAGCGTGGATGTGGCGCTTGGGAAGAGGGCTTAGAGTGGGCTTGGCAGGGCTGGGATAATGGTTGGACTCGATCTTAGAGGTGTTTTCAGATCTAAATTCTACGATCCTATGATTGTGGCCTTTCAGTACTTAAACAGGCCTTACAGAAAAGAGGGAGAGTGACTATTTACTCAGGTAGACAGTGATAGGACACGAGGGAATGGTTTTAAACTAAAAGAGGAGTGATTCAGATTGGATATTAGGAGATGTTCTTCCCTGTGGGGGTGTCGATGCACCGACACAACTTGTCTAGAGAAGCTGTGGATGTCCCACCCCTGAAAGTGTTCAAGAACAGGGTGGATAAGTCTTGGAGCAACCTGTTGTAGTGGAAGATGTCCTTATCCACAGCAGGAGGCTGGAACTAGACACAAACCATTCTATGATTCCACAGCCCTCTCTGCCCAGCCCGAGCTGGGGTTTGACCTGCTGTCCCTGTGGCCCCCCACCTTGCCTGAGCTGCTGCTACGGTGGTCAGTCCACAGCAGGCAGGGACTCCCACACTGTTTTTGCAGGAGGTCTCTCTGGGACCCTCTGTGACCAGGAAGGGGGACACGGGGTGCAGGTAAAGGGTCAGGCACCGTGGTGAGCACAGCCGTGGGCACAGTGAGGCTGTGGCCACCCTGGCACAGTTTTGAATCCATTTGGTATCAACAGGGGGCAAATACCCTTTGCTTGGAGGAAATTCAAAACAGCTCTTCTGGGTGGGCTTGGGATTTGCATGATAAAGGAAAGAGCAGAGGAAGCCTGGGCCTCTTTTGTTTTCTTTTTTCCAGGCCAGACGTGCTCAGGGCAGAAATGCTTTGGACATTTCTCGCCTGTGCTGGGAGGAGCAGCTTAAATCCTTGGCTCCAAAACCAGGTTGTTGCCAGCTCAGCCTGAGACTTAAATTCAAGTTGATGTTTTGATGTGACAGAGTCGCTTTTAATCCTCTCTGAATCCACTGCGCAGGGACAGACAGAGAAGGGGACATCAGCTCACAGTGAAGGACTGGAAACAAGGCACCCCGAGTGGTACGATACGGCGGGAGAGGCTCGGCACAGAACCAGTAAGGATTTTTCTGATAAATTATTATTAATCAGGGGTAATGATACAGCCATTGCAGTGCAGAGCAGCAGAGGGATTTGCTGCCCGGGGGCATCAAAATTCAAACCATTCCCTCAGGCTTGTCCTGACAAGGCAAGAGAAACTGAACTTTGCTTCTAGTTTTCCTTTGCTTTGCTTTGCTTTGCTTTTTGGGAGGGATTTCTAGCCCCGGCAGCCTGGGCTCTGGGGTGGCAGGGGTTCCCAGCCTTTTACTGGGGGATCAGCCCCACCGCCTGAGCTCTCCTTGCTGGGTTTGCTCAGCCCTTGGCTACAGGGGCTCCCCAGGGCCCCGTTATCCAACTAACCCCTCTCCTGGGATCTCCTCCTGGCACGGAAGGGCTCTCTGAGCTTTCATGGGTCTGTGGCTGGTGGTTGGGAGCCTGGAGCAGCAGGAGGGAGCTTTGTCTCAGCCGATAAGCAAAAGCAGCTCAGACATTGCCCAGCCCTTCTCCCCCAGAGCCTCCCGCAAGCCTGAGCCCTCCCAGGGCTCTTGTCCCCCAGGCTTGGTTCAACAGGGATGGGATGAAGCTGTAGTGCAGCACTGGGCTGGTGCTGGCAGCTGGGGACAATGCCAGCCCTGCCATAGCTGAGGCCGGGGGACAAGGAGGGGCATGATGGGCTTCAGGAGAAATCCTACCCCAATGCCCCATGTCTGGTGGGTGGCCTCGGCTCCCCAGGGCTTCCCAGGTGGAAATGCCTGTCTCAAAACCAAATAAAGCTCTTTTTAGCAAGGATGGGAGCACATGATGCCAGGAACTGCCTGTGTCTGAGCTGGCAGAGGAGAGACCCCTGGAGAAGTGGGCACCCCGCTCAGGTTCTTCTCTCCCTAAATCTTACATTACTTAAAGCCCAGAGCTTCACTGCTCCTGCCCCAGGGCTGGGAAGGACCCCATGGAGCTCCTGTCTCAGCAGTGCTGTGGCAGCGTAGGCAGCAGAGGAAGGATTGCTGCAGCCTCATGCACATTTGCTCCTTGCCCCTGATTAAATAACCATCCCAGAGTTATCAGGAGCTGCCAAAAGAGCTGAGTTGACATTAATTAGTAACCGAAAAGATTGGTTGGAAGGGGAATGACGGGAGCAAAATACACAGGCTTTTGTTTGCCTTCTGCAGAGAAAGTGCAGAGGGCTTCTGCCCTCCCTCTTTCCCGGCCACTCACCTCTGGCCTCTGGTCCCCATGCACAAAGGTGGCACCTGCCCCATCCCAAGCCACCATGCTTTGTGGCTCCCCAGGTCTGTTCCCAGTCTTGACATTGAGGAAGCTGAAATTCCAAGAGTAAGTCCTCCAAAGCAGTGATATTTTGGGTAAATATAAGCTCAGGGGTTTTCCCTGTGCCCTCTGAGCATTGCTCCCCCATCCTGTCTCATGTGCATTTTTGTCTTGCCAAGACCAGCCTGGGAAACATCCGGGAGCTTTAATACCATGAGAATTGCTAGGAAATAAGTGTGGTAGGACCTCAAAACTGGTTTCTGGCTCAGGCCTGCTGTCCCTCCCCACTCTCTGAAGAGTGCCCAACCTGCACGCGGGCTGGGGTGGAGCTGTCTGCACGTGTGGGGAGCCCTGTCCCCCACAAACGCACCTGGCTCAGTACAGACTGTGGGGGAAGCTGAGTGGGAGATCATCTCTGCCCCTTTTCCCCTGTTCTGACCTTGGTCTGTTTGTTTTCTCCTGCGGGGGCAGGCTGAGCAAACAGTGGATGCTGGGGCTCCGGCCGCTGCCGCGCTCCAGCCCGCACAGTCACAGGAGGGCTGCGCTCCCGGACACCCAGGATGAGGCTGCTCTTCCCTGCCCTGGCACTGGCCCTGCTCGTCACCACCCGTGCTGCTGAAGGTGAGCCTTAGCCAGCCAGGTGCCCCACGCCAGGTGCTTTGGGGATGGAGCAAGTGCAGCTCCTGGGCTGATGGAGGGGCTGAGGAGCCTGGGCAGGGGAAGGAGGGACCAGAGGGTGGCTGCGGCCACTGGCAACATTGGCTACACTGCAGGACAGGGAGAAAGCAAGTGGGCAGCACGTGGGTATAGATGGTGCCTTGGCAAATCCCTGGCCATCCTACAGTTGGGCTGCCAGTGTGGAGCTGGGACCCTGACACAACCTTGTGCAGGGCTCCCATCTCAGCAGGACCTGAATGGGAGCGGGGCGAGGTGCCAGGTAGCCCCTGATGATGGGGTTGACCATGAAGAAGTGGTGTGCCCCTAATCATGATATACTCAAGTTTGCTTTCATCCCTGGGGCTGGGCTGGGGGGAGGCATAGTCCCCATTTCCCACCCCACATTACTCTTGTGCTGTGGGGTGGCTTTTGCAGACTCCTGCGAGGGCCGCTGCGATGATGGCTTCGACGCACAGCGCAAGTGCCAGTGTGACAGCCTCTGCATGTACTACCAGAGCTGCTGCAGCGACTACTCCACTGTCTGCAAGGCCAAAGGTACCAGCCTTGCAACCTCCCTCCTGGCTGGGGCACGGGGGGAATGGGGTGGCTGTGGGTGCCTGACACTGGGGTAGCTCAGGGGGTCTGTGCTGGGTCAGCTCTGCACCCACCTGTGTCCACAGGGTGAAGTCAGGGCGCTGCAGCACATGGGGTTTTTGGGAGCTGGCTCACTGCCACCCGCAGCGTGGGGTTCATACAAATTGGGTAGATTGGATAGTAGGAAAATGTCTTCACTGAAAGGGTGGTCAGGCACTGGAATAGGCTGCTCAGGGCTGTGGTGGAACCACCGTCCCTGGAAGTGTTAAAAAAGAGTAGTTGTGGCACTTGGGGACATGGTTTAGTGTTGGACCTGGCAGTGTTGAGTTAACAATTGGACTTGATGGAGATTTTTTTCAACTTTAACAATCCCATGATTCTGTAAATCCATATTGCCTGGGAGTGAGCAGCTCCCGCAACCAGACCCAGTGGGAGACACTCAGGGCTTCCTGGGACCAAACTGCTCCCCCCCACAGTGACCCGGGGAGACGTCTTTGCCTTGCCGGAGGATGACTACGTCGTCGACTACAACCTCACTGTCGAGTTCGGCACTGAAGAGCCCCCTAAGGCAGAGCCCACGGAACTGCCCACATTCCCATCACTAGTGGAGACCACACCTGAGAGCAATCCAGGGCCTGAGGAGACAGAGCTGCCTGTGGACGTGGTGCCCACAACAGATGGGTTCGGGGAGCAGGATCCTGTGGACGAGTCTGAGGAGCTGTGCAGTGGGAAACGTTTTGACGCCTTCACCGACCTGAAGAACGGTTCCCTTTATGCTTTCCGAGGTACCTTGGGGACCTTTCCCAGGCACATGGGACATGCTGTCGCACCATCACCCCACAGCAACATCTGGAGTCCCTCCTAATGCTCCCATCTCCCTTCTCTCCCCAGGGAAGTACTTCTATGAGCTGGACAAGACGAGCGTGCGGCCTGGCTACCCCAAGCTGATCAGCGATGTCTGGGGCATCGAGGGCCCCATCGACGCAGCCTTCACACGCATCAACTGCCAGGGCAAGACTTACCTCTTCAAGGTGGGCTGGAGCTGAGCTGCAGGGCTGGGGGAGCTCCCGGGGTGGCTG